AAACAAACAAAAATATTTACCTCGATATAAAGGCCACAAACTAGGCATGTGCCTGAAACACGGTAAATAATATGGTTCAGTAAAGAGAAATCTTCTTAGTTTGATCAAACTGAAAGACATAAGTAACTAGAGACGTCTTTATAGATAACCTCATCTCTTTTTGGTAACGCCTAAATCCTGAATCGCTGTGCACATGGACAACCAATTTATAAAACAGGTTATCAGGTGATATGTCGTCAGCTCTATGAAAATTATGGTAACACTTGAATGCGGCTGGAAGACGCTTTTCCTTCATCAAGCGTACCATTTCCTATTAAAAAAAAAAAATCAGTTGCTCATCAAAAACACATAAATAATGGAAACTGGTTAATATTACCACATGAAAGGACACTGCAAGTGAAAGATATACATATAACCTATAACTTCAGCGATTCAAAATCAACAAAGACACAGATCTCAAGTTACCTGTAATTTACTAGTTGAATAATCTGCAGGCTGAGATTGCAGGAATTTTGTTATAACAGATTTGTCAGCATTTTTCGGATGAGATTCATCTCCGAACCAATCCACTTCACTGGGGCAAAAGCTTGGCCCAACACTCCTTAAAAGTGCTCTCATTTGCTACAGCACCACAAACAACGAAAAAAGACCCTCTATTATGAGAAATCTTTATCAAGAGATGGCAACATAAAAATTCCACTTGATAAAGCTTGTCATATTAAATTTCTTTTAGAACCTGTTTCTCGTTAGATCTATGGGCAGCACATATCTCTCTTAGACTGAGTCCCAGATCAAGATCAGCTGAAATATCAAAAACCAGGGAAATGATTTTTCAAAAATCTACACGGACTTGATAGAGTGGATTATCATGAAAACTATAGTAAAAATTAGAATATGATAAGATAGTGAACCTCCATCACAGGGTGGTGGAGGATGATCTCTCAAGACATTTTCCATATCTCTTGCACTCTGACTGCTCACTATACGCGCAACAAGACCCTCTAATATCTCACCCTGCACCTTAACATGGTCCTTTGAGGCTGTTTATTTTCATCCAAGAAATCATTCGTCGGATGAATTTAATCAAGTTCAGTTCCTTGAATAACTAATGTGAATTCTACAAAAAGCAAAAGTGAATACAAAATTAAAGAAAAACATTACCTGGGACTGATATATCAGCTACTTCATCAAGAGCCCTACAGACCGAGGTTGCTATCCCTTCTTCACAGAGTGCATCAAACGCGGCGAAAAAAGAGGTCACTGATTTCCTTCATAAATTTTTAACAAAATACACGCAACCACCATTGTTAAAATTTTCATTTTCCTCACGACAAGCTGTCTAATAAAAATTCTATGGACGGTGTGTGCATCCAAACATATCAGCATATATTTCCTCCTAGTAGGACCAAAAAACCTCTAAAGGTTGAGACTTCATGGATTTAGACCAGTATATGCATCAACCAGATTCTATCAGCACATTCTTACTATAGTTAGGGAAATGTATCTTTCAAGCTTTACAAGAGAAGCACTAAATTCTTAAAACGAAATATTAGCTAAAAGTATTTCAAACTCTTTCTTCATTCTCTATTTAAAACAACAAGGCCTTAGGTAAAATGACAAGTAAGGGCAAGATCACCGAAGATGATAGTAGCAATGAATAGAAAGCGGTTAAGTTACCTTGTGGAAAACAGCCAAACATGATTTGTTGGTAGACGCCATTTTCGGCAAAATGCAATTATTTCGGAAGTTGAATAGAACTTGGGCTTACCATTACCTAACTCGGTAACGGCCGTCACTACCACTGCAAGATGCGAATCAATAATTTTTTTTACTGAACAGCTTTAGCAGACTTATCTGACTTTCAATATTAAGGAACATCATATAAACAAAAAACCTCACCATAATCATCCAGTGGGCGTTGACCATGATCTCCAAGAACAGCCGTTACCAGTTCCATAGATATGCACATGCGATTTTTCTGGGAGAAAATGACTTATTGTGAGCTAGCTTTTTCTGGCAATTGATCAAGCCTCGAGCAATTGAGAATTTGGGTTGTTTAAAGTTCTGTCCATGGAAATACCTCAAGAAAATCATTGAACTCTGCTTCTTTCTCTAGAGACTTAGTTCCCCAAGCCTCCCTGAACATCCGTGAAAGAACAAAAACACCAACCGCAGTATAACTGCAAATGAAATATTGGGTTAGCTTATGAGAAAACCGATTGGTCACAGCTCAGTTTACATAACATCAGAAATGAAAAAGAATAGTAAAATGCATTTGCTACATCAAAATGTTTTTTGAAATATACTCGTAGTACAACTTATATATGGTGTGGAATCTTATCCATCAACGTAACATCAATACCATCAGCAAGCAACAAAACTCCAGAAGGAGAAAGCATAGATATTTCGTTGGGCATTACTAACTATGAAACTAAAATGTAGAAATAATCTATGTTCTAAGTTAAAATGAATGAAAAGGGAGTTTGGGTTTATTCATTGGGGTTTTTTCTAAAGATTCTTTGTGAAGAGCTTATCAATGAAAAGGAAATTGTAACTGAAGCTAAGAATAATTGAGCTTACATATTACCAAAACTGTTCTTTGCATATGCTCCCCCCTTGTGACCGGCGTACATAAAGAGAGAGCCTGAATGCTTAAGAGAAACCTGTAAAAGGTGCATTACAACAGGTCAGTAGACGGTTAAAACTTCAGAGCGTTTAAAAAAAGTATACACATATACAGTGTACATATGTTAATGATACCTCCAGTGTTGCCAATCCTTTAGATACCATCTCAATCATTCTTGTTCTTATCTACCAAAATCAAGTTAAAGCAAATTAGCAATAAGTGCTACAAACAACAAGTAGTCACAGAGAGGGCACTATATAGTATACCTCTTGGTCAGTCTTTTCATTCTCAAATTTTGGATAGAAAGTGGCTCTGATCTGAGCATGACAATAAGTCGATTTGTCGACCGAAAATTTTTCCAACAAATCACCTCCGAAAATTTTGCTCAGATTGAGACCAACTTTTGCATCTCCAGAAGAACCTGTCAGTGAGACAGACGATGTTTTACCACTAACAGTTCCATATGACTTAGGCTTCCATACCAGATTTTGAACACTATGGTTACTTGTAGTTTGACTCGGTAAGACTGGAACATTAGTGTTGCTTTCCGCAAGACTTAACCCACCAAATTGGTTGTTTACTGCTTCTGCATCCATCTTCGGTTTTACTTGCCACTTGTGCTCAACGTGAGCTTTCTTTTTCTGCCAAGAGAAACAAAAATAGTCAAGTCCTGTATATACCCAAAAGCAACAAGAAACTCTCACAAACCAATACTTAAAGCATAAAGTTTCAATTTTTAAAGAAGCAAATTCAAACTCGTTTCCAGATAATCAAAACTCAATAGTCATATCACTGTACCACAAACTAACACATAGTGAAGGAAGCAATCAAAACCCAGAAAGTGCAGATCTTCGAGAGAGTCATATCATATGAGAGAGGATTTAAAATTTGACAATCGCTAAATCCCGATGTAAACCCAGATTGAGGAAAACTCAAAGAAAGTTGAAAACCTGCTTCTTAGGCATATCTGAGGATAAAAATCTGATAGAGGAGTTAAAACAGAGAGAGCGAGCTAAGGTAAGGTAAGGAGAAGATGATCGGAGAAGAAAGGAGGAGGTTGGAGAAAGATGAATGTTTAAAGCGAAGAGAGTTGTGTGTGGAATTAACGACATCAACACGTGGTGCGAACCACGTAATAACAACGAGAGATGGCGGCGACCAAGTTAGTTCGACGTGCTTGCTGAGTCACCAACAAGCTGTGAAACCGGCGGGACGACGACGGAGTTAGTGGAAGTGTTATGGTGCGGGAAAGACCACTGTAACAAACAACAAAATTTACGAAAACACCCCTGTGGCTTACGAGGCCTATATATAGGGCTGCTAATCTGGGCTATTTTTTCCCAGCCCAATTCCAGACTATGAGAAACTTGTCCACCAAAAATCCAGCCCACAAAAAATTTCCGAAATTAAAAATAGAAACCCATTGGCATAAATAAGCTAAGTTTAAAAACTTTAGATGCAAGATCAAAAGATTCAAAACCATCAAATTCCACAAGCATGACTATCAAAAACCCGATTTAGATTGTTGATCATCTACTAATTTGAACTAATTACTGTCTACCAATTTACTAATTCATAGAAACCAACATTCACGATAACCAAATGCTAATCAAAATTCCACAAACAGAGCGAGCAACTATCTCTCCGTTTTGACCTCAATTAATCGAGCTGAGTGGTTGTCGGTACACATAATCTAGCAGCGGAACAGACATAGGAAGTAAGAACTCACCGGAAATAATGCAATTGATATCGTAGAACCCTAATCAGCACATACTAGGTCAAATTTTGATAAATCTGCTTGCTATACATGGCTGCCGCATCCTATCGAATTCCATAATTGCCTTTGGAAGAAACTTTTTGCAGGATTTCGATAATTGCCTTTGGAAGAGAAAAAGCTTTGAGTCAAAGAGCAAGAGAAAGGAAAGGCTAAGGAGGGCTTTGCTTGTTTAACAACACCGCACCGAATTTCCGACAATAAAAAGGTTCATGGAGACGAAAGATTCTTTCTCCTTACTAATTTTAGAGCCCAATTGGCTTTAGGGCCCAATAAGGGCGACTAAATTTATTATCCCAGTGGTTTCGCCAAATTATTGGTCGGTGTTTAACGTAAATTAGTTTCGACAAATTTGTTTCTTATGTTAATCGAATTATTAGACATTAATTTGTATCATTAGCCAAAAAAAATCAGTTGAATTGAGAACGAACACTGAGTTCTGACTGATCCCTATAGGAACCAACTGCAAATTCGCTCAAGCTTCGAACAAAGCTAGCATTGCTAAACTAGAGTCGAATCTGCTATGAGTTCATTTTGCAATATGTTTTAATGTATCCACAAGTGGAACCAGAGGATAAGAGATTGCATCTCTGACGTATCACGAAAGGCCTTTTTTTATCAGTTGGTTTCTTCCTGCTCATAACACTACTTTGAAAGTTTTGATAAATTGTCATGTGCAGTTGAACACACTGAGACCATTACATAATCAAGGTTCACAAGAATCGTCACAATCATTGTCATAGATCCCTCTGAATCTTCGCATTAACACATTAATGTTGAGTTCTGTGAATCAGAAAGGTATAGGTTGTCGATCAGGCCAAGACTCCATCTTCTGGAAGTAATCGACAGGCACTACACCATCAATGCCTTCAGTCAAAATCACTTTGTTGTCTGAAATGTAGAATGCAATCCCATCTGGATGAATCAAAAGTATTACTAAAATGATGAATCTTTGGAGGGCATAGCACTAGCTTTGAGACACAGCATTAAGGTCTCACACTAAAGTGAATTTAATAAAGTCATACCTTCAAGAGCTTTCTTGATGTCGAGGAAGATCAAAACATTGACGTTCCTTCTCATGCCTTAAGCAAAATCATGTAAATTTGGAACAAGATTAATGTGCATATGCAATATTGCAGGAACAACAACAACAATAGGATCAAAATCTTACCACTAACCACTTCACCATCTGTTGGCAAGCCACAAGAGAAGTGAACATGCAGTCTATTCATGCGCTTTAAGCCCGATGATAAGATGGATTCCAAATTCTTCTTATAACTTCCATGTACATACACTGCAATGTGCAATCACAGAAATTCAAATGAATATGAACAACCAAGCAAGACATAACAGAAGTCACAAGTATGTGTCCTAGTACTTTGTTACCTGGAGCTTCTTCTGGTGACAGGATTGGTTTAAGTAACTTCTCTGACTCAACCGTCTGCACACAAAGACAAAAAGCTAAAGCTTAAACTACAAAGCATATTGATCAAAAATAGGGAAACAAAATATAATCATAGTGCTACTGTGTTAAACAGAAAGAAGACATGGCAAGCGCAAATTTTGCTGCAAGTAAATGGAAAGGTCTCAACTTTTCAACACAAATTAAAATGAAGAAGAAAGTGCCGCGGATTGTTTCAAGTTCTTTTTACCGTGATCGAGTGGCCTTGGTTTGCGCGAATCAAGAGCTCTCCATTCTCATCTATGAGGCTAAAACGTTGTTTATTGTCCCTTCTCACAGCCTACAAGCTAACAGTCCCAAACGAAACCATCACAAACTCATCTCAAACGCAACGCTCGTTGAAAAAATCAAGTGAAGATAGTGAAACTGACCTCTCTGATTTCATCAACCGTATGTGACTTCAATTGGATATTTTCTGACGTTTTCAAATGCAGCTTAAGTAAATCTTCAACATTAATAAAACCATCACCGCGCATAGTCAAGCTTAGCTCAGTAGCCATATGTCTCAAGATTCGAGTCCTGAATATCCATCCAAAGTAAGCTAAATCACTACAATACATCTCAAATCAGTAATGATGGCTCGCACTTACAAGAGTCTTCCAAGTGCATCGATTTTATCATTTCCGCCGCGGCCCTGAGGTCTCCTTCGATCGTTCTCTCTCTCATAGCCTCCTCCTAGCAAACGATTTGGATCAGAATTGCAAGAAAATAAATACAAGGAAAATTTGGGACAAAAAAAAAAAAAAAACCATCTTATTCACAAATCTTGTCTCAAACACACAGAAATTGGCTATACTGGAATTATCGAATGGTAGATGAAACATCAAACATACATTAACCGAGATAACTAAAGCATCGAGGTCTTCGAGCAATATACCCATTCGGATCTCCGTCGTAATAAGCTCGCTATGATCTCAAGGAAGGAGAGAAGAGGGAGAATCAGAGAGAAAGAGATTGAACCCTACGGTTTCCAAAGAGATGGGAAGATTTAGAGCGAAGGTTCAGTCGTCGTCACACGACGTCGTTTAGTTTTTTTTTTTTTAACACTGCGGTGGTTTAGAACCGGTTTAATCGAGATCCGGTGTAGTTGGCGGTTTGTGTCTAATCGCACCAAAAACATTGAAAAGCCGGTCAAATAAACCAATTTCAAAAAAGCCTCCACTACTTTTCTTTATTCATTACAATGACGCGTTAAAGTATAGTTTTGGACATATGAATCATCTGAAAATTCACCGTATATTACATTTTTGTGTTCTAACTAACCCCGAGTAAGGTACTAGAGAGGGCTTTACAGTGAAGTAGTCAAAATCTTAGCAATGATCAACATGTCCAAAGAGGATCCCACCACAACATTGATGAGTTGGTGTTGGAGTTGTCTTCAAGGAATCCCAAATCATTGCTCTCAAAGGACAATCTATTATCTTGTTCTTGGTTCTGTTGGTCCATTTTATAAATCAACTCTAGTAAATTTGATCGTTGAAATTGCATATTCACCATCTCCACTTGAGATTTTGCAAGTTGTGCTTGGAGTTCACTCACTTGTCGTTGTAGATGGTATATAGCACCTGCACATCCATACACTGGATCTCTAATTCGAGCTTCGGCTTCATACACCATACTGTTGACCGCATCAGTTCTTTGTGATTCTGGAAGTTCCTGAAAATATAGATAAATAATCAACCATGTGTTCGATCGTTCATAAAGGTAAGGATTTTTCGTATTTGACCAATTTTCTACAAGACTTTTTGAAAGGTGAATGAAAAAGAAAACGTTGACAATGACACTATATGCAATACTTTTTTTTTTTTGGTTATGTGGTGCAGCTTTTAAATTTGTGAGAAGAAGTTATTGACATTATATTACATGACAAGTAAAGGGGCCAATTTTCACATGACCTATGAACCCATTTTCCGAAACAACCATTTCACTATCTTCCTAATAAGAACAAAGAAAACATTCCCATCTATATCATTAATATAATCGGGTCTTTCTTCTATTTAAATCTTTCTAATATTAAAAGAGCTTAGATAGATAGTTTAGGTACCTGCAAGAACTTAATGATGTTGCTGGCTCCAAAAACGCGGTGGGCGATAGTGAATTTGGCTGGATCCGTTGGAGGGAAGTACGGTGCCAAAACGCATCTCTCTGCGCAACGCCGCCTCAAGATTTTGCAAGCAGCGCATGGGCTGAGCACCACCCTCGGTGAAAAAGGTGGTGGAGGAGAAGAAGAAGAGGAGATGATTGGAGTGGTGGCGGCGGAAGCGTCACTTTTACTCTCCATACCAACTTAAAAATTGTGAATTATCGGGAGGAGTCTTTGAGAGGTGAAGTGCTCTTTTGGTGGGGAAAATAGAGAAGTGTATATATATATAGGGGAGAGACACAAACTGATGTAGGGAAGGAAGTGACCACCCTGACGTCGAAAGCTCGAATTCTGACGTCAATTGTTTTGGTTAAAGTTGAAACATATATATTTCCACATTACGGTGGCTACTAAATTCCTCCACGCTTTCATGTTTCAACGGTTCGCTTGACTTTGGCACAATTATTAAATTTCTTCTTAAACAAAAAATTCTTCTTTTCTTGATTTTTCTCCTTGCGTATTATTTCAATTATATTAGTCTCTAAAAAATCATTAATAGTCCATTGGTATTCTACTCTTACATTAGTAGTCCATTTAGTCTTACATTCTATACTTAATATATAGTCTTTCTGATTAGGCCATCTACAATGGGAGAACATGGGCCACGTTCTTAACATTAAAATAATAAGAAAAGTTTAGAACAGTTGGCTTGGATCACATTGGATAGTTCTTGAGCAAGATCTGTTCTTCTCCCCACAAGATCTTTTACATTATTTTAATACTTTATTTAACAACTTTTATTATTTTAAAAACCTTTAGAACACATGTCATGTTCTCCCATTGTAGATGGCCTTATGAAGATTCAAATATTGCAAAATCACTGAAAAAAAAAATTCTTTTCTCTTTGTATCTTTCATATTTTCTTCGTTAATTAGTTATATTGAAATAGATTATTTGCACCTGTAAAATCGTTTTTAATATGGTTAACGGTTGATTTAGACAATAGAAGACTATGAATCAAAAGATTAAAATTTTGAGAATTTTCTTACAATGTACAGTATGTAGCATGTGCTTTGGGTTTGAGATTAGTACTACAATTTGGGAGAAACCATAGTTAAAAACCTCAATTGAACTGTGTATTACGGTAGGTGGTTCGATTGGTCTTTAGAATAACTAGATATTCAATTGTAGAGTACTCGATGCTCTTCTAGATCTCTCATAGTGAAGTTTAATTTAATTATCATCTTTATTCAGTGCTGACTTGTAAGTTCTACTTAAGTACACTGATAGAGAAATTAACACAAAAGGCCAAGTTATTTATTTTAGGTTGCCTAATTTTTGCTGAAACGTATTTTGTTTTTATCAACCAATATTCTTGGGACTCAATTTATAGATATTAGTTATATATATATCGTATAAGACTTTTCTATTTGAACGACTTATACATACACATTTTTTTTCAAATTAAATTAACCATTTTACACGTATATATAAAACATGCAGAAGATGAAAAACTGCGTTAAGAGTCGTCTATTAGAAAATAGAATTCCGAGCGGTCCCAAAAGCATCATATATTCAATTAGAGAGTCTTCTTCACGTACCAACATCAAGAAGAAAAATTCGGAATCAAATAGAGGGAAGACACGTAGCCAGTTAGATTGCTAACCGAGTTATTGGGTGTGCTAGCTCTTGCTTCCACCTTCAAAAGATTGCTCTCTTTCTACTTACGTACATATATATCCTCAACTAATCTTTTTTTTTTTTTTTTTTTTTTTTTGCTAAAATGTTAATATCATTAGAAATGAAAGTTTAGGAAATACAAAGGTAAAACCTAGAGGAGAGTAATCTTGGCAAAAAAGAATAAAAAGCAAGATTACAATAGAGATTTTGGACTAAAAAGCCTAACGGATCCAGAGAATCATTAGGTTCCTCCAACGCTTACGATGGCGACGAGCAGAGATGGTGTTACGCACTTCACGATCGATGTTTTTGAAGATGAACAGAGGAGGAATGTACTGCAGATTATGAAGTACATTATTCCTCTGCTTCCAAATGTGATAAACCGATGCTTGGACAGCAACCTTGCGAAGAATCGAAGGGGCAGAACTCGAGGATAGTCGCATCCAAGATAGAAGCTCAGACCAGCTGTAGATTAGAGGACCCCTGCGAGATAAACGCGAGAAGACAAGGTTCCAAATAACAGTGGAGAAAGCACAAGAAAGAAACAGATGGTCTCTAGATTCAATGACAGATGAGCAAATGCAACAGTTAGGAGAGGAAGCAACTCCCCAGGAGGCCAGGCGCTGGCGGGTTGGTAGTCTATCAAGATGAGAAACCCAGAAATGGAACGCATTCCTGGGAACCGCGCCCTTGAACCAGACAGATTTAGCCCAGTCCTTAATCGCATCTCTAGGCCGCATAGCTTCCCAAGTTATTGAAGAGGAGAAACCATCACAGTCCTTGTTGTCAACAATCCAGCAAGCAGAGTCTGGAATGGTAGATTGGCTGGGAATGTTGATGGTAGTGAGATGCAAATGCAGAGCCAAAGCAGCGTCAGATCGAGGTGAGGGAATAATCCAGCCATTTGAATTGCAAGCATCTGCAACCTTGGTGTTGAGAGGCAGTCTTAAGGCACGAGGACCTTCCACTCCAAGCAGCTTGATAAGAGGACCCAGTGGAGTCCAAGAATCATACCAGAAAGATGTGTTTAGACCATTACCAATAACATGTTTTAGAAATCTTTCAGCAAGGGGTCTGAGCTGCAAGATCATTCTCCAAGTCCAAGGATCCCTAGGTGAGGGCTCAATCTCCCACAGCGACCTATTCCCAATATGATGATGCTTGTGCCAAGCAGACCAAAGGGAGCCCGATTCTGCAAAAAGAAGCCAAATGAGCCTGAGGCAGAGAGTTTTATTCCAGACTGTGAACCTTCTCAACCCAACACCGCCTTCAAGCTTAGGGAGACAAACAGTGGACCAAGCAACCTTGGCACCTTTGCTAGCGTCGATATTACCCGACCATAAGAATCTGGAGCAAAGGCTTTCAATCTTCTTCAAGCAGCCAAGAGGAAGCACAAAAGTTGAAATCCAAAAGGCAACAATACCAGAGATAACCGATGCAATTAACTGAACTCTACCCGCGAAAGACAGACTTTTTATAGCCCAAGATCTGAATCTGTTTGTGAGCTTATCCAACAGTGGCTCATACTCAGAAATTTTTAATTTTCTGCACATAAGAGGTAAGCCCAAGTATCTAATGGGAAGAGATCCCATTGGAAAACCGAAGCCAGCAATAGAATGTGATTCAGAGTTGTCAATACCTGCCAAAAAAAGGTGAGTCTTATCCTTATTAACCTGCAGGCCAGACCACAAAGCAAAGTCATCCAATGCCTCGCTAATGCCATGTAGAGAAGAACAACCCCCATCGAAGAAAACCATCACATCATCAGCAAACATTAAGTGCGAGATAGAAAGATCTGAAGTTTTAGGGTGATAGTGAATGTAACCAGCATCGAACCTTGAGTGTAGTAACTTGGAAAAGACTTCCATAGCGAGGACAAACAAGTAAGGGGAGAGAGGGTCCCCTTGTCTGAGACCCCTTGTGCTCTTGAAATATCCACCTGTGCTGCCATTGACCGATAGGGTAAAGGTAGGGGTTGAAATACATTGGAAAATCCAGTTAATAAACTTCTCCGGAATGGCAATGGCTCTTAGGGCAGAGATAATAAAATCCCATCTCACAGAATCGAAAGCTTTCCTGAGATCCACTTTTAGCATTCCTCTAGGCTCAATATTTCTCCGGTTATAGCCGTGAACAATCTCAGTAGCCAGCAGGACGTTCTCGGATAGGAGACGCCCAGGGAGAAAGGCGGATTGGGATGAGGAGATGACATGAGAGAGCAGCTTCTGCAGCCTAGAGGACAACAGTCTAGCAATGACCTTATAGATGGTATTCAGACAGGAAATGGGTCTAAAGTCTGTTGTTCTGGAAGCATTGGGAGACTTAGGTATAAGAACCAGTGTGGTTGCATTCCACTGTTTCAGGATGCGGCCAGAAGAGAAGAACTCGCGAACAGCTTCAGAAACCTCCGGACCCACTGTATCCCAAACCCCTTTGAAAAATTCTGCTGAGAAACCATCCGGACCACTTGTCTTGTTCCTAGGAAGAGAGAAGAAAGCCTCTTTGATGTCAAGATCAGAGAATAACATATCAAGTTCATTAACCTGTTCCTGAGAGCATCTGAAAGTAAGCAGGAGATTCATATCACTTTGCTCAAGCATAGGCTGGCCAACTTCACCTCCAAGGAGATTTTCAAAATAGTCCACACAATGGTGAAAAATACCTTGCTCCGTATCAATTCTGTTCCCAGCATCATCTTCTAAATAGTGGATAGTATTAATTGCTTTTCTTGAATCAGCCATTCTGTGGAAGTAGGCTGAGTTGCAGTCTCCCTCAGCCATCCAAGTAACACGAGACTTTTGGCAAAAATAACTCTCCTCTGCCATCCTTAGGGACTGCCACTTAGCTTGAGCTGCCAATTCATGACCAGCATTTAACACCGAAGGGTCTGCTAGAGTAATTCTTTGGCACTGCAAAACTAACTCGTGAGCCTCCGCTACTCTCTTCTCAAGATCAGAATAATTCTCTTTACTTAGAGCGCAGATAGGGCCTTTCAACAGTTTTAGTTTTCTAGAGACTCTGAACATGGCTGACCCAACAACATTTGAAGAGTACCAAAGGTCTCTAATTAGAGAGTGAAAATCCCCATTTTGAAGTAGAAAGTTGAAGAACTTGAAGGGACTCTTTGGCTTTCTCAACGCAGCATCCAAAACCACACCACACGATGCATGATCAGAGAAATCTGGCTCACCAAAGACACCTTATTGAAAATGACTCAAGATTTTCTTCTTTATTTACCTTAGAAAAATTTGTGATATGTTTACAAAAATCACCCGAATTATATTTCTAATACTATACGTAAAATATAATGTATATATAGTATATAGTATCATCATCATATATATAGTCTTATTCATTTAATCGGTCAAAATAAAGATTTGTCTTTTGCATCGTGTACACTGGGAGATTGTTTGTTAGTCTGATTTCTCTCAATAAATAATGTAAGTCTAACAGTATCGTCATGATTATCCTCAGATCAAATCATCAATACCTTTTCCTCCAATCATATTCTTAGGCCTTTTTAAAAAACAACTCTAGTGCAGCAGTTAAATTCTATCAAATCGTTAAGTGATAAGATTCCACTAATGTTGGAATGGAGACAAGAAAATTGGGGTCGTTACGTGTGCATTTGAAAATTATGCTACCATGATACCATTCACTAAAACGTAAAAAAAATATATATATATATATATATAGTAAGCAAAAAAGCATTCACTAATTAACCAAAAAAAAAAAAAAAGTGAATTGTGGCATGCAGCACATTTCTTGCGTTAAATTTTTTTTTTTTTCAAAATACAAGTTAATACCATCGGTCAATACAATTTTATTTTTTAAAATTCAACAAATCAAAATGGGCTCCTACATTTGGTCTTTGAGATTAATCAATCATATCGATTAAAGAATTTGTAAGCGATTCCCTCTGGAAAGGGGAAATACATTAGAGGTTGCCAAATGTATGTACGCCAAGGGATTATTGATTACAATCATCTGCTCAAATTTAATCGTGCATTTAATCTGATGATGTAACCTAAGTTTCAATGCGTACCGAATAAATGATATATTTGACTCATTGACTTTGATTTCAACGAGTCATATATATATATGTCTGATATTACCCCAGTTCTAAATTCAGAATTTATCCGACGATGTAAAAAAAAAAAACATAAAAAATTTCACATTTCTGATTTCTGAATCATTTCAAAGTTATCATAGAAATAAGAAAAAACATTAAATAAGTAAAAATAAAAACACTTATCTTTTTTTTCGTATAAAAAAAAATACTTATCTAAGTAACTATGTATTCTTCTAAAAGTCGTCACAATTTTTAAAAAGGGATTATTGTTGATTTCAAAATCTTTTAAAAATGCCATTTTTATTAAAATCTTTTGGATTTGCCATTTTTTAACACTTAAAATGTACGTATTTACGATTTTTTTTGGCAAAAATATGTACTTTATACTTAATACTAAACCCTAAAAACAAATGAAACCGACTAAAACCCAAATATAACGGGTAAACGCATGTTAAATCACATTTTTATAGCCTGTAAAAAGGCAAAATCCACAAACTATTAAAAAAAAGTGAAATCCACAAATGCCATTAAAAAAATGGCAAATTCTTAATTGATTTTTAGAAAAATGTATTGGTATGTCTAGAACTAATCGTAAATATTATTTTTTTTGTAACAGTATTAGTAATAATTATTCTACTGTCTTTATAATTATATCTATAGCATTACGGCATTACCTTTTTTATTGTCTCCCACACTTTCCCTACAGTCTAACTTAAGACAACTAATTTGTTTTGTTTTGTTTTTTGTTTTTTTTGGATATGATAGTGTTTTTATTCTTTTGAAGCTATAGTTGCTTTGAATTTCTTTTTAGACTAAAGTAAGAAAAATATTATTTAAAAGAAAAGAGACCCACACGGAATGAAGGAGGAGCTCATTAAATGTTACAGCCAATATCCCACACAAATAAATAGAACCGCTTCCAACTCTAAATGGTGTGAATGTGTTTCACAAAAAGTCACTCCACTCTTCGCTCCAATCTCATCTTTTCTAGACCACTCAAGATTCAAGAGGGTCCTAATTGCAGATTCGGTTCATTTCAAGATAAAAACAGGAGACGTTTCCATCGACATAAAAATAGATAAAAAGCCGGTTTAGAGAAGCGCAGATGCAAGATCCTTCACCTAAAAAAGGAGTACTGAATAGCAATCATTTGAATAACACTCGACTTCGAGCTCTTTATTCCCCTGGCCGTGATCAAGTCTCCAAACACTTTGGTAATCATAGTGACATTATAAGCCAGAGCCATCCGTCCTCAGCTCACGACGAAGCATCGTCTGATCAACATCAATTGAATCTGCCTATTCGGACACCACATCATTTCATGCTCTTGCATGCGTACTGAACTAAAATTTGGTAAGTTTGCCATTGATCTTGTGTAAATCTCGTGGGAGCTCTTCAGTTACTAACACTTCTGTTTAAAGATTTGGCTGTTTGTCTTTGTCCCTTTATATAGGCAATTAGCCAATTTATCTTCAAACTCTTAATCCAAGTGCTACTGCTATTCTAGCTTCAACCCGCATTCAATCCTTTTATCAACAAGTTAACAGAAATGGTGTCGCACATCTTGAACACAAAGCAATGAGATTACTTGTATCTCATTGTTTTGTTGGGTGGAGAGCACTACAGGCTAAGCATATGTGAATGGATTTGAGGCATAAATATTGAGATAAATTAGTTTTATTAACTGTCTAACCAGCAAAAGCGCAACGGATGTGTCAAATCACAACCCACCGAAAAACAAGATACGCAAATCTGAGAGTACATTAAGCAATCATATGACAAAGTTCAAATGCATTGCGACCCCTCCAGCCCCCAACCAAAAACAGCCATGACTCTCGGAGACACACACACACAACATACGTCACAGCTTAAGCATCAGCAAACCTGCAACAAACAGATACAAACTCAAATCACACGACTGAATTAATATTTACTTTCGAATGATTAATAGATTCAAGATAAGTACCCAAGCTCAGAAAGCTTCATGTGGGCCTCGGCGTAATCAGCGAAAAAGGCATCTTCATCCTGTTCACATTATCACAAGAAATCATGAGTTCTCTCTCTCTACCAAGTGAAGAACTGGGAAAAGAGAAAGGATGCATACAGCAGCGTATTTCTCGACTAAAGGACGGAAAACAGGGTCGTCCAATAGCGCCTTGTCAGAGACAAGCTGAAGAAGGCCTTCCTTCTCTCCGCTCAAGAGTTCCCTGGTCATAAATATAATTTGATTAGTAACCATATCAGCCATTGAATTCTCCTACAAGGGAACTTGGGATACTCACTTGAAGTAAGAGTTGTCGAAGATTAGAGGGTTTGAAGTCCAGGCACCTTCGAAGCCAGACCTATCCTTGTGGCATCTTCCCTGCGGTTTCATATTTTGCAAGTATTCATCAAAATTTGTAAGATTGGAGCAAAAAATTAAGTGTTTAAGCAGTTGGAGAGAAACAAACCAGAGTGTGGGCACCAGATAAAGCGACAATGTCCTTGTCAGACAAGCCCATCTGCTTAGCAAAGACGTCTCTCAAGTGATCACAACCCTTTGTAGCATCAGGAAGACGACCCTCTGGAGGTGGCTGGGGCTTGTCCTGAAAGCAAGATATGCATGTTAGAAACAAACAATCATGTCCCACGGTGTTTCCTCCTTCAAATTCAATCTCGTGTTTCAGAATTACAAGTATTGAGAGAACAGCTACATTATCAATCAGCCATCTCTACAAAGAAAGCAGAACACATTCTCTCGACCAAATTGAGTACATGGTAACCTTAGAGGCGGCAAACAAATCTACAGCAATGACTAACCTCTCTTCCAGGGTGGAAAGGAATTTCAGGGCCACCAGTAACTTCAACGGCAACAACACCAGCAAGCTGAATGATCAATTTCACACAACAAGGTCATCATGAGTAAGATTCCAAACACAGGAGTAATCAACGATACTGTTGTTTTCTTTTCTAAAATCATGTATGTACCTGATGGAAATCAGCAAAAGAGATGGTTGGGAATTGCTCCCTGATGGGATCCAACAACCTAAGAGCAATGTGGATACCACTGTTGGCTCCATGAGCTTGCTCAGCATCAAACCTCATTGTTCCGAATGGACCACCAGTCCTTGATTGACAATCGAAAGTTCCAGCAGAGTGCCATCTGCAGTTTAGCCAAACAAATCAACCATGAGAAGTGTTGCACAATCTAAATACCTTAGAACCACACGCTGATATAGTTAGTTACTTACGCGAGTCGGACCATGATGGGTGCACAGTTCTTCTCAGCGATCAAACCTCTGAGCTTCCTCTTGCACTTCTCAATAGCTTTCTTGTAATCTTCGCTCACGGTTGGGTAGTTCTTCGTCATCTTAGCTAAACTCTGGAACCAGTACACAGATCTTTATGAGCCTCACAAGCAAATAAACGCACAGATCAAATCCAAAACACACGAAATCCAACAAAACCTATGGATAACAAGCTGATAATCATACGAATGGAAAAAAATAAACCTAAATCAATCACTAATATATAGCTAACTACATCAAAGACACCACACGAGTGAGCTAAAAGACGCCAAATCTCCCAAAAGCTTTCACAGATTCGTAAAATTAGCCTAGAAACCCAGCAATATCGAACGACAGAACATAAACGAGAGAGCTAACGATACTAACGCCGATGGCAGCAACAAATAGTGGATCTACTGCGATAAACACATCATTAAACTCAGATCAAGCCAAGCATAACAATGATCCGATCGATTCAAGATAAAATTGGAAGCAGAAACGACGGATCAGAGAGAGAGAGTATTTCCGTTATACCTTTTTTCCGAGAAAGGATAATAAAATCTGGAGAAATGCGAGTGGCTGGCACGAGTAAGACACGAGTACTTTTTGTGAGAGCGTTGAGGAGAAGAAATGCGTAATATATAGAGTCATGAAAGAGAACGTTCTAGTAGATCTATAGATGCCGTTAGATGACGGATATCGTGTGGTCAAAATTTGCCAATATAAGCGACGGTTGTGATTAAACGCACGGCTTAAAATGGACGTTCGGATCTTAGGGTTGGTGGTATATAGATGGGAAAAGAATAATCTTCAATGTTATTAGGAAATAATTGTCAAGATGCTATTGGAGGAAACATGCTTCGTGTGGCGGGCCCACTACTTTGGGGAAAATATCAAAAAAAGGGGGTCGATGTTGAATTTTCTTGTGTGAATTGACGAAATTAGGCATCAGAGGACTGTTATTGCGAACACGATGGGCAGTGGTAATTCCGTTATTTCGTCCGTCGCAGGTGTGAACGCGTCTTACGCACAAGAAGATCCCAATTGGACTAAGGATATGATAAAGTCACAGTAGCGTGTTATTAGGTTTCTCACCCATCATCCTTGATTGGCGGGTGACGATGAGAATTTATAAGTGCAAGTCATAAACCAATGCGGTTTAGACCTAGCAACGCACGGTTTGGTTAAATGTCCGCAATTACGTCTGGTGTTTCGGAGTTTTGAATCGGTTATTAGAAAAACATTGGTTTATTTATGTTTGTACTAGGTTATAAATGTCCTCTGTTTCATGGGCTTTTGATTGGCTTGTCGAAAAATTCAAGATTCGGTGTTGTGGCCTAATTTTCTTCTTCTTTAACATGAAATCCTTGTACTACTACTGATTTTGAAGGTTGAGCATGGTCTTAATAGTCTAGTTGTTTTTTGTTAAGGTTTGGATCATAATTGCAGAGATTGAAAAAAGCTATGTGAGAGCCTTCTAAGGGGAGAAATTGCATTGTTTCTTAGTATTTTAACTCGTAAAATGCTGAAGGTAATTTTGAACTATTCATTGATATTTTTTGTGGTTCCTGAGCCTGATTTGTTAGCTTCAGCTGCATAATTATGTAAGAGAACTGTATGGTTTAATCACCTTCTTATGATCTTTAATGTGTAAGGAGTTAAAAGATGGGACAATCTGATCGGTAATGTTGGTTTGTGAGATGGTGAAAATGAGTTCAGAGGTGTTTTAGTTTCACACAGGCTTTGTTTACTTAGCGCACAAGAATAATCTCGCTTTCACTATGCTTTTTAGTTTTTACTATTGGTTCCTAGGGACCCATTGATCCACAATATGAGAGCTTTTTCTTTACTATACTCTACTCTTTTTATTTCCTTTGAATTTTTCTTTAACGATGCAGAAGTCAAGGTTAACCTTGTAATAATAATTCTCATTCAAATTTCAAAGTTCAACGGATCAAATAAAAAAGTTTGTCTTTATTTGGCCCACCAAAAGCAAAAGGTTCCACCATTTTCTCTCCTCTTGCTCACTGTTTTGCCTTTTTAACAGCAATAAGAGCTACTTGAGAGAATGAAACAGTCTTTTAAAACTTGTTTTCTTTTTACTACCTTAAAACTTGTCTTGATCCGAGTTCTTTCAAAGAAGAGATGGAGAAGATGGAAGATGGAGGAATCTTGACATATGATGCTAGATATGTTATGTACAATGTACTCGGTAACATTTTCGAGCTATCTTCAAAATACATTCCTCCTATTCAACCAGTCGGTCGAGGTGCCTATGGTATTGTCTGGTAAGTCTTTATCACTTTTAATCAAAAAGATACCATTCTTGAATACAATCTTAATCTCAATTCCTTTTTTATGATTGCAGCTGTGCTACAAACTCAGAGACAAACGAAGAGGTTGCTATAAAGAAGATAGCAAACGCGTTTGACAACAGAGTTGATGCTAAAAGAACTCTCCGAGAGATCAAACTCCTTTGCCACATGGATCATGACAACGTACTCTCTTCTTTACCGATCCCATTTCTTTTGATGATGTACACTCACATAGTTGACTTATTATCAATGTTTTCACATTGCTACACAGGTTATCAAAATGAAAGATATAATTGAGCCACCAGAGAAAGAAAGGTTCGAAGATGTGTATATTGTTTATGAGTTGATGGATACTGATTTGCACCAGATCATTAGATCCACTCAAACTCTGACCGATGACCACTGTCAGGTGATGATCAGTGGACACATTCATAATTAGATCTTTATCGTTTTTTATCTGGTCCATTTACATAATGTTTACTAACATTCAGCATTGTTTGATATTTTATTTGTTTTTAGTATTTCCTTTACCAAATTTTGAGAGGCCTAAAGTACATACACTCTGCAAATGTACTTCACCGCGACTTGAAACCAAGCAACTTGGTTCTGAATACGAATTGTGACCTTAAAATCTGTGATTTTGGGCTAGCAAGAACGTCGAATGAGACAGAGATAATGACTGAGTATGTTGTGACGAGATGGTACCGTGCACCTGAATTGCTTCTCAACAGCTCTGAATACACAGGAGCTATTGATATATGGTCTGTTGGTTGTATTTTCATGGAGATACTCAGAAGAGAGACACTTTTCCCCGGTAAAGATTACGTTCAGCAGCTGAAACTTATCACTGAGGTAAGCAAATTGAAACCTTAATCCAACTATAATCAATCATTTTGGTGAGTGTGACTGTGTGAGTGTTAAAAGCATTTCTCTGTTTTTTGGTTTACTTTTAGCTCTTAGGGTCACCAGATGACTCGGATCTCGACTTCTTGAGAAGCGATAATGCGCGAAAGTACGTAAAACAACTCCCACATGTTCAAAAACAATCATTCAGAGAAAAGTTTCCAGACATTTCCCCAATGGCTCTAGATCTTGCTGAAAAGATGCTAGTTTTCGATCCTTCCAAACGCATCACAGGTGCATACCACGTTGTTTTATATATGTTTGGATACTATTGCTATAAACGAAATGAGGAGTACTAACAAGATGTTTTAATCTGATAGTGGAGGAAGCACTGAAGCAGCCGTACTTGGCAAGTCTCCATGAGATCAACGAAGAACCAACGTGTCCTTCGCCTTTCAGCTTCGACTTTGAGAAGACAGCCTTGGATGAACAAGACATCAAGGAGCTTGTCTGGAGAGAGTCTTTACACTTCAAGAATAAGTAATCTCCCAAATTCTCACTCTCCCTACAATTTAAGACATTTGCAAGCTTATTTTTCTAAGTTGTGGGGGAATAGTTTACATAGCTCGTATGTGTGCATGTATTTGTTTTGATGATGGTTGTGCAATGGGAAGAAAGTGCTTGCCCAATCAAACCCTAAACCAATAGCAAATAATTTCATCCCGACCAACCTATACAAGACCAAGCTAATTCGACCATACTCTGCCTAAATCGATCTAATTTCACCAAATTCCTTAAAAGTCCCAAATCGATTAGCTAAATCGTTCTAAAGCAAACTTTTTTTTTTTTTTGAACAAAGCAAACTTTCTAATTCACAATGTATATAATGCCAATAGAATGTCGAATGGTAATTTTATAGTTGTGAATATTGTATAGTCTATTGATAATTTGGTATTAGATAAATTGAATTGGACCAAGCAAGTCAACATCATTGCATATGTACTTTTAAGTTTTAATAATTAAACGTGAAAACATCTCCAAATGAAACCGTAATGCCACAAAAGCCAAACACGTCTTGGTTTATGGATGCTGGTTCCAAGGAATTAATAAGCAATATCTTTGTTGAACCATACATTTTTTTATAGATTATGTTCCTTTCTAATTTAAACTTATTTCAACCCATTCTTGATTAAAAATTTGAGATATATATAAAAATCCATTTTTAATAAAAGGAATTGACTAGATTTGTGTATGCTGCCCAACACAAAGGAAAGTCCACTTTTGTGTTTATTATAAATTACTGAAATAAATCTCGAAATAATAGTATGAAATATTTCAATTATATATCTCGTTGACATATCATTTTAATAAAATTACAATTAGGAGACTGACAAATCAATATCATTACAATTTTATAGTAGTCCACCAATATATAAACCAACTAAATTATACTCATCGTATTAAAAGGAACCTTCATTTTATCTGTAGTTTTAAATTTAGCAAAACTAATTGGCAATGGGCAATGGCCAAGAGGTTAAATGCCTCGTCAGACGTTGGGCCATCATGGGTTTGGAGTAAACTGAAAATGGAATATCAGTGTTAAACAAATTTCTTGATTACTAGAATAATACAAATAAACACCAAAAACTTTTTTTGAGTAAAAACAAAAATCGTAAACAGTCGAAGAACAAAAAATTATCTTTTGTTATCTTTCTGTCTAAAGTTACACTGTTTTTCAACAGAGCATATAGCTTTTACTATTTTTGCCAGCAAAGGATGGTCTGTCTCATTAAAGTCATTTACGGCCTAAAAGGTCAACGTAGATTTAATATTTTAACAGGGGTTGTTAATGTACCCTAAACCTTATAGGTAAAAGAACTAAATGAGAGATTAAATAATCTTCTGCGAACAACATTGATTTGTGTACACGTGTCGCTATCTGCTGAAACGCGTCGCAGTTAATCACTGTACTTGGAACCATAAAACAAAAAAGCCTGTTATTAATTAATCTTTTTAAAAAAAACATTCGACAACAAAGCGCGTGGAGTTAAAACGTAGGACCCACAATGACGTCCTTTTTGTTTTTTCTCACCTCTTTTAAAAAATTTCCAAAACGGTGAGTAATTGGCCGTCGTCACCCGTAAGGTGATTGGTGACAGCTACAAAAATGTTACTATCATCAGACTATTTTCAATCAAATAATCTCATTTATCAAAATCCAAATTAATCTACCATACCTGCCTGCCAAACAAACCATCGAGTAAAAAACGTGTTTATTGTAGCTAAGAAATATTTAAGACTGAAAATGACGATCTTGTGTTTTTGTGGTGCAACTATAAATATTTAATTTATTCATATACATATACACATTTTACTTTAAATTTTCCATATTTGCATGGTTGATCAACATAAAAAAGTTTGCTGTATTACTTCGCCTACAGACTTCCATGATCCTACAAGATTGGTCATTTTAACGAATATATAGAGATCTCTCCTTCATAAGTATAATTCAATTGTACAAGCTTATTAAAAACACAATGTTTTAATTTAGTGACAAGACTGATCATTGGTTCAAAAACTCTCTAATGGTATGACATACCGTATCAGACCACATTAGTTAGGAAATACGGTCATATATTGGTTTAAAGATCAGTCTCTTAACTATAAATATTCAGGAACTCATGAATATTCATGACGATTGAGAAAATAAATATAAAAGATAAGCCATTTTAAGAGAAAAAAAAAGATTGTTAATAATATTTCGATGATAAAAATAGTATAACTTTATATATCACGATAAATGACAAATAAGTGAAAGTGACTATTTTCTGTCAAGTGATAATTTATTTTACTTAAGTTTGGTATAAAATCTAAGTAAAATAAACAGAATAAGATTTCTCATTGTTTTGAAAATCTAAGCAAATTATATAATAAATTTAAATACTAGTTTCATTATGATACGAGTTTATACTGTTGATTCGCAGTATGAAAATATTCTTTATCAAGAAGTGAAATAATCCCTAATCAGGTTAAATCACCCAAATCCATATAGCCATTAACCAAACGGCAACGCCACGTCAGATCGGCGGTGCTTGTTTCCGGACCGACGGACGGTAGATGACAAATTAAAAGTTGACCAAGCTCAAGTGCTCTTTGGCTTACGTGGCGTCTTCTGATACGTTGTCTTGAATAGTAGCCGTACGTTTCTGTTCTCCTCAGGAAGAAACATTTGTCTAGACGTGGCCGGTTTTAATTAGACGCGTGGATGTAATGTACCGTGAACCTTGTCGTAGACGATAATTGTACGTTTCTCTCTCAAAAAAATATTAAAGAACTTTTGATTACGCGATATAAAAAGGCGATGAAATTAAGCTTTCTCTGTTTGTCACTAAGCTCTCTCTCTCTCTCCTTCTTTTCGCAATTCTTCTTTCTTCTTCGACTTTTGTTTCTTTCTCCCTTCTCTTTGATTATTCGTGTTGGGTTTTATCTGGGTTTCTGATTTTTCCAACGAGGAAGGAAGAAGAGAAAAGATTAAAGGGGACAAGCGAATAACTCTTTTCTCCTTCAATTTCCAATGGGTTGTTTCGGATGCAGTAAGAAATCGAGCAAACGATCGGAGACTAACAAAGAGAACAACAAAGATACTGTGATTAATAGAAAATTCGTCGGTGGTACTACGAGCGTCGTGAAGAGCGATAAGCGAGACGATCAGACTCAACCCAGTTCAGGTATCGAGTGATTTTGAGTAATTTCGTTGTTTATCTCTCCTCCACTAGCACTCTTGTGTATTTGTTAAACTGTTTGGATCCGATTCTTATATTTAGGTCTTTCTGTTTCTGTTACATTTAGGAGAGCCAATTCATTGAGAATTTATATGATTTTTTTTCCCGGAGAATTTTGATGCATGTTTACTGTTCACCATATAAATGATGTTGGGTTTTGAATCGAGCTAGGTTTTTAGGTTTTGTCTTCTCATGGAGGAGACAAAGGTCAAAATTGAGCCTTTGGTATTGATTTGTTAGCTGTGTCTGTTTTTGGTTAAGTCACATGATAACTGGTAATCGATTTTGTTGTAGATTCAACAAAAGTCAGTCCATATCGAGATGTTAACAATGAAGGAGTTGGTAAGGAAGATCAGTTATCTCTGGATGTGAAGGGTTTGAATTTGAATGATCAAGTCACAGGGAAGAAAGCACAGACTTTTACCTTTCAAGAACTTGCAGTAGCTACGGGAAACTTTAGATCGGATTGTTTTCTAGGTGAAGGAGGTTTTGGAAAAGTTTTCAAGGGAACTATAGAGAAATTGGATCAGGTACTTGCACTAGTGTGACAAAAAAATTCCTATCTTCTTTGATCAATTGGCTGTGATTTGTCATAGTTTTGAACGGTTGGTGAAACTTGGTTCTGCTAGGTTGTTGCGATCAAGCAACTTGACCGTAATGGGGTTCAAGGTATCAGGGAATTTGTTGTTGAGGTACTGACTCTAAGTCTTGCTGACCATCCGAATCTCGTGAAGCTTATTGGGTTTTGTGCTGAGGGTGATCAGAGACTATTGGTCTACGAGTACATGCCGCAAGGATCTCTTGAAGATCATCTACATGGTATGTTCTAAGATCAAAAGTCGTATCCTTTGCCTCTGTATTGTTTGTCACTCAGCTATCCCTTTTTTTCTCAAACCTCAGTACTTGCTTTGTTGCTTATCTAACTTTTACTTTTGTTTTGACTGTTTTAAGATCTCCCTTCTGGTAAAAAACCTCTTGATTGGAACACCCGGATGAAAATAGCAGCTGGTGCAGCAAGAGGTTTAGCGTATCTGCATGACAGAATGACGCCCCCAGTGATTTACCGAGACCTTAAATGTTCGAATATTTTGCTTGGTGAAGACTATCAACCGAAACTATCTGACTTTGGGTTGGCCAAAGTAGGACCAAGTGGGGATAAAACCCATGTCTCCACAAGGGTTATGGGAACATACGGATACTGTGCTCCTGACTACGCTATGACTGGTCAGCTCACATTTAAATCCGATATATACAGTTTGGAGTCGTCCTTCTCGAGCTTATCACCGGAAGGAAAGCAATTGACAATACAAAAACGCGTAAAGATCAAAATTTGGTTGGATGGGTATGTTCTGTCTCTTGGCTTTGTCTCATAATAATCTTTACTGGAAAACAACACTCATTTTTTCACGGGTTTTTTAACAGGCACGACCGTTGTTCAAAGACAGGAGGAACTTCCCGAAAATGGTTGATCCATTGCTTCAGGGACAATACCCGGTTAGAGGACTTTACCAAGCACTAGCAATTTCAGCAATGTGCGTTCAAGAGCAGCCGAGTATGAGACCAGTGGTATGTGATGTAGTATCGGCTCTCAACTTCTTAGCCTCTTCGAAATACGATCCGAATAGCCCTAGCAGCAGCAGCAGGAAGAACCCTTCCTTTCACAGAGATAGAGATGATGAAGAGAAAAGACCGGACCTCGTCAAGGAAACCGAATATGAAGGATCTTCATAGGAGATCCAATAAGAGAGTGGTAAAAAATCAAATCTAGTTTTGGCTTCACCAAGAAATTGGGGAAAAAATATAAAATCAACTCAGGTACATTTTTAACATCTCTTGTGGATGTAAATCTTGACTCGGCTTCTTTGTATGTAGAATGTTTCTGTTCTGTAGAAAGAAAAAAAAACATTTTGTTTTGGGACATATATACATATATTGAACAAAAACAAACATCTTTGGACATAAAATTCTGGTAAATGAGATTAAGTAATGTATAAAAATTCGTAATGATGAATGGCAAAAGTCGTAAATATGTAAAATAAATGGGACTATGATCACTTCACATCACGTGATGCAACTTTTCCCGCGTGAACCCGTTAAGGATTTTTGCCGTTAAATAACCAAAACTAATCCAAGAAGGCTTCACAAATCTCTCTTATCTCTCTCTCTCTCTACTGGTTTTGTGATTCTTGAAAGAGAAACTACAAGATACGACAACAATGGCGGAAAGATCATTCTCTCAGCTCCCGATCTCTTCTTCTCACATTGGCAGGAGGACGCAAAACTCGCGGAGAGGGATTTTTCCGGTATCGGAGTACTGGATCCACGCAATTCCGGTGATCGTTTTTCTCTGTTTCTTCACCCTCTGGATTTTCTCACACTCAGGTTCCTTAACTCTCCGATTCTTTATTCTTTCTCGCTTTGGTTTTTGGATCCAAGCAAGATTTTCCCGAGAAAATGGGTCAAGAATCTTTCTGATATTTGTTTTTGATTGGGTTTATTCACAGTGAGCGTCATGAACGATGGAGAGATAATGTCGATACATCGTCTCGAGAAATCCATGGCTGTGAGAAACGAGTCTCATGTCAGTTTAGCGATTCTTGCTTCCTCTGCTGTTTCACCAGCCTCAGGTCTCGTCGTCTCTACCAATCAGAATCTGAAAACTCCTCACAACGCAACCCAATCGCAGCAAAACGCAACCCAATCTCACAACGCAACCCAATCGGTGAACAAAGCGAAGCAGCCACACGCCGTCTGATCTCTGACCGGAGAAAAGTTTCTTCACGATGCGAAGCTTCCTTCAGTTTCTTACTGATTTCTTTCATGAACAGATATTTTTAGGGATTGAGATTTTTTCTTTGTATAAGAGTGTATTGGTGAGTTCAGATTGAAACAATAGTTTTGCATTGAGGATTGAAAATTGTTTGTGAACAATACACAGAATGTTTCCAAAAAAATTTGCATAGTCATTTGAAGAAATCTTCAGTGATGACTATATCTGAATGTTAATGCTGAGGATGTTCGAGCTCACTGATCTCTCCGTCTGCGCAATTCCCGACCCAAATATACATCGTTTTGTTTCTCCGACTCGGCAATACTCTGCAACAATCCCTCCTCGGTGACTGCAAAGCACATAGTTTTAAGATCATGTTATTTTAAAACCGGTTTATTATCTGATCTCAGCCGGTTGTCTCTGTCAAATTTCATGTTATTCCAAAAACGAACCGGTATGACTAAATTTGATGCAAGTTGTTAATAAATGAAGCAATGTGGACCAACCTTGTGCCATCGGAGGGGATCAGGTCGCTTGAGAACGACGACTGAATCGATCTTTCCAGGCGAATCGAGCCTCCATCGGCAGCCTGGAATCCGCCTTGTCTTGTCCAAGTTGTAGTATCCAATTACTTGGCGACGTCCTTCATCATACTTAGCTGAGTTTAAGTAAAACACAAATGGTCTTTGGCACGGATGCCTCGATACTGGTCTCGTGTTAAACGCGTAACCAATGTAGTCGGCTTTGCGGAACCAGTTGAGGAATGTTCTTGAAGGCATCTCAAGCTCACGAGGGGAAATGATGCCTCGGATTATCTGGACTACGAATCCCCATGACACCGAGATAGACCAGAACCGGTTTTGGTCGTAGCAGATGGACTGCTGGAATATGCTGGCTGGGTCAAGAACTGCTGACGACATCAAGTGTCGGAGCGCATGTGAGCGCTTCATCTTCGGGAATATCGGCTGCACCACGTCGATATGGTGCAGCGACACCAAAGGAGCCACTGGGTGTGCACCTAATAGCCCCAATAAGTCCCCATAAACATCATACTGCATACATAAAAACACTAAAATTAGACTAATTCAATCCACATAAACTGTTCTGATCGGAACCGAAACCACACTGTAATAATGAACAAAATCATAAAATGGATTGAACATAGAGGGAAAGTAGAAAATGACGACACCTGGTGAAAGCCAGGCTCTTTTGTGAGGGGTACGCCGAGCTCGGTCATACAAGCTTGGATGCGATCATCACTGCCATAGAGACCAGGATACCGTTGGATGCAACGGTCCTGCATCCGCGAGAGCTCGAGGGCTAGAGCGTAGCTAATGGCGAATCCACCGCCTCCAAATGCCATTGAATATGAGAAGAAGATGTTCTGAACGTGAGCCTCAGAGGAGCTACCAACGTAGTAGAACTGAGTGTGGTCGTACTTTGAAAGGACGTTTACCACATTGTCCACCACAAACACTGTGTCGTCGTCTCCCATCACGAACCACCGTACACCTTTTTTGCCAAGCCGTAGCGTCTCTGTCACTACCCGAGATATCCTCACTGCCGATCTGTCCCCTACCGGATGCGTGTACCTAAAACATGACTTCTTTATTTGAATAAGGTTTCTTGTAAAACACTTCAGATATTGTAGAGATGAGTAAAGTACCTGAAACGTGATGTGTCTTGGGAGACTCTGATTTCGGGAAGGGGATCGTTTCGGTAAGTTCTGACTCTCTTGTCAATCCAGACAACTCCACGAGTCTTACCAGGTCGCCACCATGATTTGATGTACTCTTTTCTTGTCTCCCACAGAACAGAGGACGCAGCGATCCCAAAAACGATGTGATCAAGCGTCGTGTTGAACATCCTTGGTCGCTGTGGGTAAAGAGCGGGGACGCGTGGAGGCACATCATCGTCTTCTTCCTCCTCGGGAACAACAGAGGAAGAAGAGTTTGTTTTGTCGACAAGGGACAGGTGGCTATAGGTAGAAGAAGAGGGACGGCAAGTCTTGCGTCCGCCACCTCCTCCGGTGGTAGAGATGAGAAGCAAAGGAAGGAAGAAGAGGAAAATGAAGAGCCATGGCAGAGGAGATCGTAAGAAGCTTAGGTGAGAGGTCCGAGCAGAGTTGCTGTGGTTTTGGTGGCTGGTTCCTTGGGTGGTGATGATCTTCTAGAAGTCTGTTCTTAGGATTGCTCAGATTGGTGTTGGAGCTCGAACTGTTTCCCATGGCTAATGGGAAGAGAGAAGAAAGAGATTGATACTTACTGAGTTTTGTTTTATTTTTTGTTTTCAGTCAGATTCGGGTACATCTCTTTTTAAAAATGATAACGAAGTTTCAGTAGTAACAAGCTAAATTTAGCTAAAGAGAAAAGGTCGCTTCCGAATTTTACTGCAAGAGCATGACCATGAACCAATACTAAAACTGATAACTGAGTTCTCACATTCACCACTTTCAACATTTAACTAGGATCATAAAAGCAAATCGAAAATTCGGATCTTTTTGGCAACAAAATTGGTGCGCTGAAGCAGCTAAAGGAACCACTGGTGTATCCATATCAGTGCCTTGTCTGCGAAAATTCAACAATACATTGTCAAACACACAAGAAACTGGGAAAAAAAAGAAAAACTGATAATACAGTAAAGTATTTGAGAAACCCAATAATAGTAAAAAAAGAATGAATTACCTTTCTTTTCTTGAATTGTCCTCCCCTTTTCTTACGGCCAAAGCTTGGCTTTTCACCATCCTTATCCAAGAACTTGATGTCATCGTAAAAGTTCTCGGTCAGTTCAAGTAACCTGATTCAATTGAACATGAGTTCATATCATCACATAAAGACCAATTGAATATCATACACTTCAGTTTCCAACCAAAGCAAACACGTACCCGCTGCTTGATTTCAAGCGCTTCTCTCTCTTCTTATCCTCTTTAGTGCGAGGTGCCCGGGTAAACAGCTCTTCTTCTGCCCGTTGTTGCCTTTCATACTGTGCCATAAACCTCTTCTGCTCATTGCTCTCAACCCCATAATAGTCTCTGATCTGTTCATATTCATTCACCCATTTAGTTCGAACATGAAATTAATCTCTACGCATATCAACTGCAAAGTAATTTCCTTCCAACCAACCTCTTCAGGCCTGTCCTCCAGATCGTCCAACACATCTTTCATGTATGTATTTCCAGTGGCTTCTCTTAATAAGTGTTTCTCTTTTCTGGCAGCATCTCTTTCCTGTTTTGACGTCTTATCATCCATAGACATAGGAGCAAATTTCGGGGGTCGATAAACATCATCCTACATTTACACAGGTAAACAGGTTAATGAAAAGAACATGCAACATATCATTTTCTTCACAAGTTTTGGGGGATAGTAAAGTTCACCTCTTGGTCATCCCCATTTTTGTCAGCAAGTAAGTCTGGTTTAGGCTTATAATTTGAAAGATCTTCAGATTTTTGGGCATCACCCGATCCCTTTCCATCGGATTGAGCTAGCTCTGTCACAGACCCACCGGCTGTGGTGAGCTTCTGAATCTGGTACTGAAGTTTTTTGTCTATGGGACGAATCTACACAAAAGAAAAACAGCTAAACTATTACTCCATGACTTGTTGTTGGTGGTATAAAGTGGAAAAAGACAGAGATGCAAACCTTTTCTAGAAACATTCGTATCTCTACAAGGCTTCTTACAACAGGATGGCCATCAATAGATAATCCTTTTGCTTTCCTTAGCAGATAATATACAATATCCTGGCAATAACTTAGAAGTAACAGATGCTTGGCCTCAAGATAACTTATCCCATCCGCTGTCGGAAAACTGTTTGCTCTTACCTACGATTTGCAAAATTAAGAAAGTCAGGATGTCATGAATGACCCATGGAGTCTCTGAATGATAACGGCAGATGCAACGACATACAAGAATTTGGTTAAATCCTCAAAGAGGAGGAGCAAACAGTTTGTTCTTTTACATTAAAGTCATCAACTCTACTTATACCCAGTTGAAACAACACAGGTTACAGACGAGACCAAATTGATGTGAGTAAAGTAGAATCCAATAATATGTTCCCAGATTACGTACCATTGCAGTCAGAGCTTCCACTTTGCTCCTAACCCCATCTAGACCATTCTTCATATCTCTCAACACGGATGCTAGCTGTGGAGCTTCTCTGAGACATTTACAATAAGAAAACGAGACGAGTAAAAACATGAAGCATATATCTAAACACACAAGTTTATTTTTTCACTTTCGATTGTGAGAATTGAAGTGATTCATTGCTTATTCAAGCTATATTCCTCTTTTTTTGGGGGGCTAAAACAGAGAACAATTTCATGATGGGATAAGAACAACTCACTTCTTAATGATTCCAACAAGGACCGGTTTGGTGATCTCCTCCATGATTATTGTTCAGAACTTGGCAGAAGATAAGTCTGTGAAAAAAAGGAAAACAAACCTAAAAGTTGAGAGACTAACCCTTGAATTTGAATACCCAATAAAAATCCTCAAATAGATTGATAAACTAATTAATAGAAACCAACATTCACGATAACCAAATGCTAATCCAAATTCCACAAACAGAGCAACTATCTCTCCGTTTTGACCTCGATTAATCGAGCTCAGTGGTTGTCGGTACACATAATCTAGAAGCGGAACAGACACGAAGAAGTAAGAACTCACCGGAGATAGAGAACTTGACGGCGACAGAGAGCGACGTGAGTAAAGGTCACGGCGGCTAGAAAGGAAAATCAATCGAAACCCTCTCTACCGATTTCCCGACAATAAAAAGGTTTATGGAGACGCAAGATTCTTTCTTTCTCCTAACTAATTTTAGGGCCCAATTAGCTTCAGGGCCCAATAAGGTAGGCTAATTATTATTATCCGCGCAATTTCGGTGGTTATTCATTTTGGTAAATCAGTTTCGACAGCTTTTTTTTATTTTTGTAATCGAACGTACACTGAGTTCTTATTTGTTCTGTCTCCTCCAGCTAATGCTTTGATTCTCCTCTAATCTCAATCGGAGTTAGTAAAAACTCTAGCCCCTACAGGACTCGACTATACCACCAAATCTTTCATCTGCCGAAATCTACTTCATCAGTGTAATTGCCTCGGTTCAAGTATATCACCTAAACGCCACATAAATAGCCGTATATCTTTCTCTCCCGTTTGTGTTGGTCTTAAGAGAAAGACAAAGCTCTGAATCAACTGACCAACTTGTGTCTTAAAAAGAAACATCAACCATAGGTTACAGGAATGTTTTATATAGATACCAACCAAACATTTTTCTACTCCCAGACACTACAATGACAATCACTAGACCAGCTCCAAAAGGACAAAATACCAAGTCTTCTTCAACCTCTTGCGTTATTTCTTACTCCCAAAAACTAAACACCTCTGCGAATAGACTCGAGCTTACTGCTAGGTCACATACCATTTACCATTCTCTTCATCTCGGCTGATCTTCTAGGATATGGCTCTTCAATCGCTCTCTCTGTAAGCACATGCTTAATGCGGCACATTGATCTCCTCACCTATAAATTGAGATGCAAACAAAAGTTGACATTCATTCATATAATAATAATCTTCTCCTTTGGTAATAAAGAACATAACCATTCCATGAGGAAAGGATTCATGTTTCTTCTCATAGTTTCTATCAATTTGTCAACAACTTAATTGAATAGAGAGAGTTGAATGAAGGCAACTTTATATCATTACCTTTGGAATGCGTTCAGGGTTTGGAAACTGCATGTTCTGGGCTTGAAGCATCTGACGCTGAGTCATCAACATGTTTTTCTCTTTGAGAATAACGTACCACAGCTTCTGAAGATCATCCCATGACTTGAGACGCAGTTCTGAAGCTTTCCAACCTCGACCTAACACCAAATCATTACAAATGTTCCCCCATTAACAAAACAAAACAATCCTTAATTCCAAATATTTCATGGCATAAGAGGCTCACATCACATGTTACGAAGACACACGATCGATTAGCAGGCTTGACTACAATCCTAAGCTACATTGAATTACTTTACTTGTTCACTTAATACATTCTATGAACAATCCACAAGTAGCTAAGAGCCTGGATTTGATAAATTTTAGAGTATCATAAGAATAAAGTCTACCAAAAAGAACGCACCGTAGACAACAGGTTTATCTTCGTCCTGGCTTCTGTCAAACTCAAAGAACTCTTCAAGTGGATTTTGGGGCGTCCGAATCGCTGAGGCAGCTGCTGCAGTAGTGGACTCCGATCTCGCCGATGCAGCCGCCAAGAATCTCCTCCCGACAAATCGTGTAAGAAACATTGTAACAACAATTCCTTTGAGCTTGCAGTTATATAATCTGACCAACCAAAGATCATCTACAACAATTAGAAAGAGATCGAAAGTGGATAACAAAATGGTAAAATGTTAATGAAATGTTGTATATAATTCTCAGGCTTCCAAAGAAGTAAGAGATCTTCTACACAGAAAAGCAAAATCTCTCGCAAAAGAAGAAAATAAGAAGTCACCGGAGATACAGAGCAGAGAGCAAGTTTACGGCGACGGTGACGGCCACAGAGAATGGAAAACCCTCTCTGAACGTTTTTCCGAGAGTAACAGGTTTACGGAGACGCAACTTTTAGGGCCCAATAACTAACTCTGAGTGGTATTGAGACTATTATGGGGCCAGATTTCTTTTTCTCTTTAGGGCCCAATAAGACTGCCAAAGACGAATTATGTGTTTTTTTTGTTAGCGATGTTAAATCGGGAGTAATCCACGTCATCGATCCATCTATTACTGTTAACAATGTAACAACCATTGGATCAAATAATCAACGGTCAGTATGAGAATCACACGGATCATCTCTGTTTTATATATTAAGACATTAATTGGCCATTTCATATCGTCAAATTCGATTGCTCTTCTCTCCAAATCAAATTATCTCAAGGTATCTACTTCTTCTTCTGCTTGCTGGTTTAATGTTCGATTCTCAATTCAATTGATTGCTCTGGAAAATCTAGGGTTTCTGTTGATTATCACTTACTGAATAAATTTTCTTTTGTTCATCTTCACAGATCTTTGGGTATCAAGTGAAAGTGTGAAGAGATGTCAGGAAGAGGAAAGGGAGGAAAAGGATTGGGAAAGGGAGGAGCAAAGAGGCACAGGAAGGTTCTGAGAGATAACATTCAAGGAATCACAAAGCCTGCCATTCGTCGTCTTGCTCGTAGAGGTGGTGTCAAGCGTATCAGTGGTCTCATCTACGAAGAGACCAGAGGTGTCCTTAAGATCTTCCTCGAGAATGTCATTCGTGACGCCGTTACTTACACTGAGCACGCCAGGAGGAAGACGGTGACTGCCATGGATGTTGTCTACGCTTTGAAGAGGCAAGGACGTACTCTCTACGGTTTCGGCGGTTAATCTGGAGATTAGGGTTTATGCAACTTTGGGAATTTCTGGTTTCTGAGATATGTGTTTTAGGTTTGATTAGTCAAAAGTAAATCTAGGAGTTTTAGCTACTGCTTTTGTTTTTATTGTTATGTCGTTGTATCCAATGTTGTGTAGCTAAAAATCTTTGCAAACTTTATGCTAAGGAAGTCTAATGAGAATGAATCATTTGCTCGATTTCTTTGTCTCCTCGGATTGGCACTAAACAAAAGAATTGCACCATCTTTTGAGAAAATTCATGGGAAGCAGCTGCAAATTCTTTAGATTAGGCTTTTAGCAACAAAGCGAGCATTGCTAAAATAGAATAAATTATGCTATGAGTTCATTTTGCAAGATGTTTTATGGTATTATGGACTGAGAAGCAGTCAATATTGCAGACATTGTTTCCAGGAGTGGAAGCAGATGATACAGATTTCTCTCCCAGGGAAAACAGATTGTATATCTCTGATCTGAAAAGTTTGTACACAGAATATATGAATAAACTAATCAATCTTTCAATGAAAAACCAAATTGATCAACCATAAAAGATTACATGTAAAGACTCAAGGTTTGGTTGAAACATTCATATTTCTATTACGGGCTGTGTTGGGATACCCATGTGGCCATGTCCATGAACCAAAGTTAGAAACATTTTTTCATCAAACCAAAAATTATCGTTTAGAGAATTAAACTGCTAGGCTGAGGAAAGCAACAAAGTTAATTTCAGCTAAAACTAACAGTCTAATAATAATGCCTTTTGAATTGTTTTCTTACTCCTCCTTTTGCTTAGCGGAGGGAGTGCGGGGTGAGTAGCGGTAGCCACTGGTGCACCTTCCTACAAACTTGAGCACTTCATCTATCAAAATCACCGGCAGTGACACAGCCAGCACTAGCAGCCACTCATTCAAGCTCAGCGGCACAATACCAAACACTTGAGCCAAGAATGGGACGTACAATATCACAAAGTGGAGCCCAAATGAGACCGCCATTGCAAGGAGCAGCCACGGGTTCACCCATGGTGGCATCGTCACCAGGCTGCCATCTTCTGAGAGTGCATTCAGAGAGTTGAACATTTCAATGGCCACCAACACCGAGAGGGAGAGTGTCGATGCCTTGATTTTCCCCTGCTGGAAATAGTCGCAAGGGTTTGAGTCGAATGAGAAAGTCTGAGAGCCTGCCGTGAAAGGAGACACTTTGAAGCCTTCCCATGAAGAGCACTGGCCCCAATGTGCGAGCTGCGAATAGCTCACAAGGCTGTGACCGTCTTGGCTCAAGTCTATGCCCATGAAGCTGTTGTGTGTGTACCATATGATGAATACTCCCACCGTTGCTACTCCCACATATATACCAATCACCTGTAAGTACATACTCATAATAGTCAGTTAGAAAAGCCCCAGGAGATGAACAAGTGAGACAAATCAGTTTTTGCATACCATGTAGCGGAAGAGAATCCAGGCAGTGATAAGAGAGTCATCACTCCTACGAGGAGGCTTCTTCATGATGTCTTTGTCAGGGGGATTGAATCCCAGAGCCGTAGCTGGAGGACCGTCTGTTACAAGATTCACCCACAGAAGCTGAACCGGGATCATGCCTTCTGGGATTCCCAGAGCAGCTGTCAAGAATATCGATGCAACCTCACCGATGTTGGAAGAGATCATGTACCTTTTATTCATTCATCATAGTCAGATCAATATTTATAACTCAAGCCACCAATGCGAAGATAGGTATATACGTAATATTGAAAGACTCACCTGATGAAGGCCTTCATGTTGTTATAGATGGACCTGCCTTCACCAACAGCTGCAACAATGGTGCTGAAATTATCATCTGCCAACACCATGTCAGATGCCTCCTTTGCTACCTACAAAATGCCCAGAGCTTTAGAAAGCTGATAGAGTTGTTATCATCCGTGGTTGAAGATGAGAGAAGAGACACAATACCTCTGTGCCGGAAATGCCCATAGCCACACCAATATCAGCCAACTTCAGGGCAGGAGCATCATTGACTCCATCTCCAGTCATGGCAACTACTTCTCCATCTTCTTTAAGTAACCTGACAATCTCTTGTTTGTGTTTTGGTTCAGCCCTTGAGAACAAGAGCCCTCCAGTCTGTCTTAGATGATTCTTCTGATCTTGAACATCCATAAATTCTTTTCCTGTCAAGCTTCTCGAGGAGATATCTTCATCTTCTTCAAATACGCCAATTTCACGGCAGATTGCTTCCGCTGTGCTCTTGTTGTCTCCGGTGATGACCATGACCCGAATACCTGCTGTTCTGCAGTCTGCAATGGCTTGACGCACCTCTTTCCTCGGAGGATCCTTCAATCATTGAAAAGGTAGAGCATGAATAATTATTAATGAGGAAGCAGAAAGAACAAAAAATATCATGGTGACCGTGACTCACCCTTAAACCAACAAAGCCAGCGAATGTTAGATTGGACTCGATAGAAGAATAATTGGACGGGTTAAGAAGTTGCTGGTGAGCAGGATGGTCTTCACTGCCATCGTAAGTGGTAAAATCTGATGGAACATCTGAGTACGCAAATCCAAGACATCTTAATGCACTCAAGGACATATCACGTAGGCTTTGTAAAATAAGATCCCTTGAGTATTGGTCAAGTTCTTGAACAGAACCATCAAGTAACTGAATACGTGTACTCCTTTCCAATACATTTTCTACCGCACCCTGAAAAATTCGAAATCAGTCAATTAGATGCTGAAAAAAGGGAACATTTCTTGACTACTAATATGCATCCATGAGAACCAAAGAATATTAGAACAAGCCACATAATCATAGATATTCTAAATGATGAAAAACAGACCTTGACCAGTAGCAGTTTCTTTCCTGAGCTGGAATCCACCATAACTCCCATTGATTTCCGATCGCGGTCAAACTCAAGAGTGGCAATCCGTTGCTCTAGTTCACTCCATAGCCGACTACAACCTTCAATAATGTTTAAAAGGTACAATACAGGAGTTTAGAATCTGTAAAAATCTACAAACATGAGTCACAACTATGATTCAGAATACATACTTAAGACATCGTCATTTGACGGAACTTTATTAAATCCTTCAGGAAATCCCATTTTCTCAACCAAAACCTGCTCAAGGAAACAAACACCAATAGAAATTGGAGGACAACGAACAGAATAGGTCTTTTTAGTCAATTTAGTTAAGAGGATAAAGGTGCAAGCTAGTGTAGTAGACTGTTTTACCTTCAAAGCTGCCTCAGTAGGCATTCCCCTAGACACAAATTGCTGCTCAGATTGCTCAACACTAGCATCGTTGCAAATGGCAGCAATTTTGGCAATCATCTGAAGATTTGCATCCATCCGACCTGTTGGCCAATCTTCAATCTTTCCATCTCGAGGATCAAACGAGGTCCCCTCAACATTGAAAGATCGAAGAGTTCCGATCCTCGAACCCATAGCGACGAGCTTTGAAACAGCCATCTGATTGGTTGTCAGAGTTCCAGTTTTATCAGAGCATATTACGGTGGTGCATCCAAGAGTCTCTACACTGGGTAACTTCCTAACCAGAGCATTCTTCTGAGCCATCTTCCTAGTGCCAAGAGCCAAACATGTGGTAATAACTGCTGGCAGACCTTCGGGAATTGCAGCAACCGCCAATGCTACAGCAATCTCAAAGTAATATGTGCACTTCTCAAAGGAGAACTTAAAGTTTCTGGGCCAGCCATCAACATACTCCCATGAAAGAAAGTACTTGACATTGATGAGCCACACTAACGCACAGATTAACCCAATGATCATTGTCAGAACTTCCCCAAACTCGTTAAGTTTTTTCTTCAGAGGGGTATCTTCCTCGTGTTGTGCAGCTTCCTGAATCTGTGAGTGAACCCTTCCAATCTCAGTATTCATCCCAGTGTCTGTAACTAAGCATATACAGTTCCCATTCACAACAGTGGTTCCTGCAAACACCATGCATTTCTTTCCTTGAATATCGGCATTCTCATCCACATGCTTGGTAGTTTTGCTTACTGCCTCACTCTCTCCTGTCAAGGACCCCTGCTCGACTCTCAGGGTTGAGCTGATCAAAGCAACCACACGCATATCAGCAGGCACCTTATCACCAACCCTCAGTTCCACAATGTCACCAGGAACAAGCTCCTTTGCAGGCAAACTGGATACCTTAGTCCCATCGCGCATGACAGTCGCTTGCTGAGACTGAATCTCCTTCAAAGCTTCCAATGCCTTCTCAGCATTAGTTTCTTGCCAGATCCCAACAATGGCATTAACAATCAAGATAAGAAAAATAACAAGCGGCTCAACAAATGCGGTGATACCCATCTCACCACCTTCGTCGCCATCAAAGAAGGCCAAGACAAAGGAAATAACAGCAGCCGCCAAAAGAATACGAACCAATGTATCATTAAACTGCTCCAAAATCAACTTAAAAATAGAAGTACCCTCAGGCTTCTCTAACTCATTCAAACCATAGATCTGATGCCGCTTCAAGACCTCATCAGTACTCAACCCTTTCTCACGACTAACACCGAAATGCTCTTCGCATTCCGCAACATCTTTAGCCCAAGCAGGAAACGTATCCGAATTTACGGGTGTAGAATTTAAGCTTTCCTTCTCCACAAGGTCTTCTGATCCTTTCCCCATGAATTCCCACCCGTACTAAAACAGATTCGTCAAATTCTCCCGAAAAATCGCCAAAGCTTAAGGTTCGACTGCAACTTTAACAAAAAAAAAAGTAAATTATTTTGAGAACGAAAATATCCATGATAGATCCTCTGAATTACTGAGAAATTATAAGAACTTCACTCTAAGAAACTCAATTATAAAACTGAAACATCATCATCATTATCATCTCAAACAAATTATGAAGGAAGAAGACTGGATCGACGAATCTATAGAGAGAATCTCAGTCCCAGACTAAAATTCAAAGATGAGCTTAAATTTAGATCTGAACAAGAGAACGATTACATGGTAGGAGAAAATCGCAAGCAAGGAAACAATCAATGGAGTTGAAGATTGTGGAAGTAACATACCAAAGCAAATCCGGAGCTAGAGAGAAAGAAACTTCCCGCTGCAAGCTATCGCAGGGACGTTCTCTGACGTCTCTCTGATATATTCTCTTATTATTAAAACTGGTGATTCAAAAAGATGCTGTTGAAGCCCAATGGTCTACTGTTTCAGTATGAGTATTGAGTGCTACTACTACTCATGCTAATATCAATATGGGTCTTCTTCTTTGGGCCTATAAATTTTATTAGACATATATTGTCATGAATTTGTTACCCACAATCGAGAAATTAGTCTAGGTCCGAAACGTTTTGGTTAAAATGTTTATAAATAAAATCAGTTTAATTTGATGATGTTTTTAAACCGGATGATGGCAAAACGGAATCTCAAGATTGTCGATACCATTTTTTTGTGCTTTCGTTTCTATACACTTTTATTTTATTGTTTAGTCGTGAATAACATAACAGATCAAATTGTCGGGTATACTCTCTAGTATCCTATACTAATATTTGGGAAGTACATCCTAAGGATCATAACTTAAATTTTGTAAGAAATTACAATATATGCCATTATATAATTCTAATCATAAAATTTATTCCATGCCACTAATATATATAAACGGGTCAACGGGTTTAAAGATATTAAAAGATTTTGTTTATATAATATATAATTAATATAATTCGAAAATGTTATATACTAATCAATATTCGAGATTATATAATACATAAAAATGTTATATAATACATAAAAATGTTATATAATACATAAAAGATTTTGTTTATATAATACATAAAAATGTTATATACTAATATACTAATATATTATTCGAAAATGTTATTGAAAATTGAAAATGTTATTCAAAATGTTATATAGTAATCCATTATTCGAACATCTTATAAAAAATGTCATTGAAAATGTTAATGAAAATGATATATCATTGAAAACATTTTATATCAATCCAATTTATAAAAAATAAAAAATGCTATTTTGAATTATAATACTCATATAGTTCGAAAATGTTATATAAATTGAAAATGTTATATAAATTGAAAATGTTATATAATTCTCCATTTTTTGAAAATGTTACTAAAAATTGAAAATGTGTCTACTTTCTTATATCTAAACAAAATTTATTTTCAACTACAATTCGTAATCTTTGACAATATTTTCAGTTTCCTAAACATTTGTTATCATCTTTGACAATATTTTGAGTTTCCTAAACATCTGTTTTTAAGTTCGGATCCTGGATAAGATAATTAAGGAAAGTTTTTAAAGAAAAACGACACTAATTAGTAATAAATTCGTTTTTCATATTTAATATCACAAAAAAAATTTTTGTTAATATTTTCTGATTTAGGCAACAGAATATGATGAATTTATGACAATAAAACTATAAAATCTATATTATCCTAAAAGCGAATCCCTAAAATAGCGTTAATAGGTAACTAATTGCACCAACTAATCTAAATAAATAGCATATTACTAAATCGCAATTGTGTCATCAATCATTTCCAATAATAGTTGGTATAAAATTTAGAGAATATCTCAATTTTTTATTCGCGAATTAGCATTAAACATTTGAATTAAAGATTACACGTTTAACAAACTTGCCAAAATCTCAACATATTATCTTTAACGACACAATTAGGGTTAGTTAATATTTAAATCTTCAACGAATTATAGAAATATATTAAATACTCAAATAAACGCTTAATCCCAGCATATTCCAATTAACAATATAAAAGATTTACTCCCTAATATCTTGCGGTAGTTATTATTTTTTTTCCAAAGATTTCTATGAATTAGCGAAACCTAATTAGTTTTCCTATAAATACTAAACACCTAAACTCCATTTACCATCGCCAAACACAAAACTTGGATGATTTCTCTTTCTTTGTTCTTTCTTTGTTGTTTCTTTCTCTAGCTAAAATATTTATTGTTTTTCTTTCTTCTTTTCAATTCTCTACAACTAGAAAATTCTAGATTTCTTCACAATATGTATCACTAATCTATATTTCGTATTGTTTTTTGCAGTTCAATTGTAACCGGCCATTCATGGCAACTAAGAGTGGGATCAGTGCATCGAAAAGTATGTATTTATCGTTTTTGATTATGGTCAAACTGGGTTTTAGATTCATCATATGTAAATAATCTCATAACTAAATTTTACTAAAATTTTGCTAATCTCTATCTTTTTTTAATTGTGCTACAGATTTCTTAACGAGCTAAACTAAAAAAGACTATCATCTTCCTCATGAACATCGAGGTGATGCGTTAGAGCGAGCGAGTTAAGCCTCTAAAGTTTGATAGAAAAAAAATCATTTTTATTGTTAAAGTTATCATTAATTTTTCTGTTGTTTTTAAAACATAATTTTAGAAGAATTTAGAGTTCTAAGAATAAAAGTAAAAATTTATATTTAATAAAATCAAAAGTTTGTGGTTTATCATTAGATATGTTTTTTTTAAAGTCCAATTTATTACGTTGACATGATTTTTTTCCCAATTTTTTTTTTTGGAAGGTGCGAAGAATAATGAATTTTGTTATTTTAAAAAAATCTTATAAACAATTTTAATAATTACGATTTTTATAAGCTTTAAGTTGTTATTATTTGCATCATATATATATTTTTTTTTTTCATGTTTAGTGTTTTCTATGTATGCTTTTCTTTCTGATTTTGATTTTAACAAATATAATATCTAAGATCTTTAATAAATTTTTTTAAATTTCTTTCAGGAGAAGAAAAATATGTAGAATCTTCCTCTTTTGATTTGTTCTCATCTTCCAAGTTTTTAAAAACATTAGAGTAACTGAAGTCAAGAATGAATAGAAAAAAAGATAGATAAGAAATAAAAGAACATTGTATTGTTTTATTATACTATATGTATTTTTACTTCTAAGAATTTAACCTCAACATATGATACGTGTTATGTTGACTAAAAATGATGTGTAATGTTAAATATATAGATTTATGAAGTTACATACAAGTTATTCGAATATTGACTAAATCAAATTTAATCCTCTGATTAATATTTATCAACGATGTTACCAACTTTGCGATAATAAAACTAAATTTGTGTAAATACCGATTTAGTATTTTAATATATTCACAGTATTAAATTAAATATAACCATACTATATTTTTAAAAAGTATTAATCTACGGGTCTAAACCTTGACTGAAAATGATCACATCAAATAAAATTATAAATATCTTTATATTATTCTATAAAACTAAACAAATCTAAAATTTTATATTTTATCCAATATAATATTTTTTTAGTAAATTATTTAAAACATGAAAAAAATTGAGTAGCTTCAGTTAATGAAAATATAAAATTTATCCATTTATATATATATATATATATATATATATACATTTAAATCAAAAAAACAAAATCATATATGTAAAAGAAAAGCCTTAAAATAAAAAAATACAAAAATTTATTTAACAAAAATATAGGCCCGCGGTGTACCGCGGGTTAATATCTAGTTTATCAAATATTCTACGACACAGCTTAAAATGTCTGAATTTAGAAAAAGAAATGGTGATTGTTATGTAACAACTGAATACAAAATTATTAATAAATAATTACAAGTGTTTAAAAATCATCCACATTCTCCGTGCCAATACACGATCGGATCAAACAAGCCGAAGCCGTGACCATAACCGCCGCGAAAATAGAAGGCACAAACAAATCAAAACGTGATCTCTTCACCATGTTAGACGGCACGCATATACTCTCCCCCGCAAAATCCATCGGAATCTTCACAAACCCATCTCCTCTTCCGCACGAAGACGACACCGTCGACACAAAAGCCATCTCCGGAGCAAACGAAGCGACAGCAACAGTGAACATGAGAAGCACCGTCCACGTGGCAGCCTGAGCGATGATTGGCCAACGGTCAGAGACTCTCCGGAGAAACGGCTCCATTAACGACGGAAGACGGTGATACATGTCGATCAGAAGAAACGGGGTTGTTTTAGCGTGGATCAAAAGAATTAGGTGTTGCTTGCGAGAAAACGAAAAGATTGTGAGATCGATGAGCAAAACCAAAGCTTGTTTGATGGGTACGGTTTATGCGTGGGTTTGGAAATAGAAAGGCTGCTTCTTTGCACGTTTAACTAACTACTCTTCTTTCTCATAGACACACACAGTTATTAATTACGTAGTTGCCCTTCCCTTTGAACTCTTCTCTTCTCTTATTTTTGCCCTTCCTTTCCGGGTCTTCTCCTTCCCCTTTGATACTCCCACGTTTTCAGCAATATCAATATTTGTTTAATTTAAGGCTGTATTATTTGGTTGTTAAGAAATTTCAGACTCGTTCCTCCATAATTCAGATATAGGAGCACAGAAGAAGTTTTGTTATATGATTATGGAGTAATGACAGTGATTTATGCTTTATCTTGGTTTACCAAAAACCCATCACTGAATTTAAGTGGGTTCACCTAAATCCGATGCTTAGCCTGCTTGTGACACGACGATTAAGATAGGTGAATTCAACAACTAATATTCAATTTATTCATTTCAATGTCTCCAATCATATCAAAATTGGACTCTGTTTCGTTAAGGAATGTAAGAAAGCAACAGCATTGACGCATTTACAAAGATAGGACTCTGTTCGTGTAATAAACACTAACTAATGCAGCAAAGACACATTTCCAACATCTTCAATTGTAAAATTGAAAAGAAAAAAACATTATAATATATAATTCATCATTGAAATTCATAAAAAGGAACAATCATCTCTTCCTCCTAGTTACAGAGCCATAAAATACGAACTTAAGCAAAGAAGCATCTAATTTCCTACATAGTACTAAAAACCAAACCGAAATTGAAATCCCTAAAAACCCTAACCGGGTCTCTTCAAGAGCTAGTAAACTTGGTCACCGCCTTGGTACCTTCAGAGACGGCGTGTTTAGCGAGTTCCCCGGGGAGGACAAGTCTAACAGCAGTCTGGATCTCGCGAGATGTAATTGTCGGCTTCTTGTTGTACCTAGCGAGTTTCGAAGATTCCTGAGCTAGTTTCTCGAAGATGTCGTTGATGAAGCTGTTCATAATCCCCATGGCTTTGCTTGAGATCCCGATATCTGGATGAACTTGCTTCAACACCTTGAAGATGTAGATCTTGTAGGTTTCGATGTTTTTCTTCGATCGCTTCTTCTTTTTGTCGCCGGCCTCCTTCGTCGGTGGCAATTTCTTCCCCGCCTTGGGTTTCTTCTCCGCCGGAGCTTTTTCGGCGGCCTTGTTCTCTTCCACCGGTTTCTCAGCCGCGGGTTTTTTCTCGGCGGGCTTCTTCTCGGCTCTTGGTGCCATGGTGAATTTTGTTTCTGATTTTCTCGGGAAAAAGGAAGTTGAAGTAGTTTAGTGGTGAATGCCGATGATAGGTTTCTCGAGGCTTTTAGACTTTATAGAGAAGGAGCAAACGTATTCTATTGGATGCAAATTCTTCACGAGGATCGCTGACGTGTATGTTTATCATTCGTTAGATTTATCAATGCCCACAATAGATCTAACGGCTGAGAGATACATCATTACTTTTAAGTTTTAACACGTTCAACTTTCAAGCTAGTCATGATAGGCTTGAATGGTCGTGACAAAGAAGCCCATTGGGCCTTAAAATGGAGCTTAAAACGCAGCGCATAACACATTTCATTTGCTTTCTTTTATTTTCACTAGTATAAAAAGCGATAAGAAAACCCTAGCACACCTTCTCTTCTTCCTCTATTTGCTTTTCTCCGTCGCTGAGTGCCCAGCCTCTCGAGCTCCCAATCTTAAGGTACAATTGTCTTCACTATACTTGCTCAGAGTCTGATCTGCTTATAGAATATTCAGAAGTGAGCTATAGCTGCTAATTTATCTTGAGTTTGTTTATTCTCTTGTTTCACATCAGAGAATTTAGGATCTTAAGAGCATTTCTTGGCTGATGTAACATTTCATAGTGAACTTAGGAACGCTTGCGAATTAGCCAGTCCTAGCTTTGTTTTTGTCTGTGTGTACTTTCTTTCTGGAGTTTAATGACGAGACACTTGTTTCAATTCCTTTAGTGATTTCGTTTTACATTTCAAAAGTTTGACTTATTCCCATTGAAATCAATTTTCATGATGCGTAATTCTGTGCATTTGTATGATGAATTACTAACTCCTGTTTTGAACCAAGATCAGAAGATAATATTCTAAGTGCTTTGCAGATTTTGTTGGGTTAGTTATTTGATTCAAGCACTTGTTTCCTTTTTGACTTGTGTAGTTGAGGATTGAGCTTAGGGCAAGATGGTGAGAATCAGTGTTCTTAACGATGCTCTCAAGAGCATGTACAATGCTGAGAAACGAGGCAAGAGGCAGGTCATGATCAGGCCGTCCTCAAAAGTGATTATCAAGTTTCTAATTGTCATGCAGAAGCACGGTATGATTTTCTGACTAGTTTTTATATAGAGATTCCTCGAGATCATTGGGTGTTGTTCCTTAAATTGGGTGGTTACCAATCAAATGCAGGTTACATCGGTGAGTTTGAGTATGTCGATGACCACAGATCTGGCAAGATCGTTGTTGAATTAAACGGAAGGTTGAACAAGTGTGGTGTTATCAGCCCACGTTTTGATGTTGGTGTCAAGGAGATTGAAGGCTGGACTGCCCGTTTGCTCCCTTCTAGACAGGTTCGCTCTTCTTATACACTTTTCAAGTTACGGTGGCCTTAATAAACTATAAGATCAAGCTTTGGAAATGTTTTATCACTCTGCATACGTCAGTGTTAGTAGTTTGTCTCACTATTTAAGGCTTGTGGATGATATTAATGGATTGAAGCTACTGAATTGTGCAGTTTGGGTACATCGTGCTGACTACATCTGCTGGCATTATGGACCATGAAGAAGCCAGAAGGAAGAATGTAGGAGGCAAGGTTCTCGGCTTCTTCTATTGAAGTTTTATTTATGGGGAAAGAGATTTTCATTGAGTTATTTTTAACTTTTGTCCTCCATTTTCTCTGAAACTACCTTCGTCTTTCTTTCGAATTTTGTGATAACTTTGATGGATAGTTTTTAAATTACTCTTTTTGGTTTGGAGCCCTTAAAGATTGATTTGAACTTATGATACACTCGTTATCTTGAGTTATTTCAAGAGTCTCTTACCTTCTCTCCTCACCGGTAACAAATCTCTAAGATGCGAACAATGCTTCATATAGATTTTTTTAAGTTCTAACATACAATGTCATGAACGTGATGTTTCATGTTTATGCTCACTTCTTATGCAATGACCAAATTCTTTGTATACCTATACTATATATACCTCATAACCACATCATCATATCATATACAGTGCAGCTTCAAACAAACGATACAATTTAGACCAACTGAAGTACGAAACAACATCATTAGAAATCTTATACCTGATTATGCATGAGAATACAATCATTTAGAAGTTATTAATAAGTCAGAATTGTTAATTTCGTAAACCGAAGAAACCTTTTACATTAACTGTAGAGGAAATTACAACAACGGATTAATACAATTTTGCGGTTAAAGTATAGATATTAAGACAAAAACTGTCGAATCATCATCAAGAAACGTGGAAAACAAAAAAAGAACTCTTCAAGAACAGCAAGAAACAAGAACACTGCCAAAGGAACATAGTTGCCCAATTTCTAATTCTAGTTGTCTCCCATAAAATGGATCACACCTTATTAGAAAATGGTCTACGGATCACACTTCCCCTCTCCAGCCAAATCTCGGCGGCCGTATCATCTCATCTCCGTTGCCGGGAGCTCGAAAGTACCTTCATGTATTTAGATATGTAAGAGAAAAGAGAGAGAGAGGAAGGTTTGATAAGGAGCATCCATAGTTGATGGCCTTTACGACCTCATCAAAGAAGAAGCCAAGTGAGAGAGACGTTTCATTTTGGGTTTATAGACCAAAAAAGTGGTCATTTGAGAGAGTATCTTCGAAAGCATATGCTTTGAACCATTAACTAAGCTGACCTGAGACCCATTATTACTACTTTTGATTTTCTTCTCTTTTTTTTTCTCTCCTTTGTTAGTATATTAAAGTCGATATAAATTATTGGGGCGAGGAACATGGGTTGGTTCGCCACAAAAAGTAGAAAGAAAGTGAGGTCCTCTTTAATTCGCCTAGTTGTTTCTCATTGGACTGCTTCCAACTGTTGTTGGATCTGTCAATTTGACGAGGTTACCAAAACTGGTTCAGTTTTGTTATTTACTTGGGAATTAGGTTATGTTGGTAGGCTCTCCACCGAACACAACGTTTCCGTTTTCTGAAACCAACACTTTCATGTTCAAAAGTTTATAGGTAATTAAAATATTTACATACAGTTAAAAGATTAAAAAAAAAAAACACTTTAAGAAATTAACTTGCTCTCGAGCCTCAGCCGCCTAAAAGGCAAAAAAAAAAAAAAAAATTCTAGATCGAGGCTGGATCGCGGTGGCTTCCCCAGCATCGGCTCCAGCCTCTCCATTTTAGCTTTAATCTCGTCTTTGCTTCTAGTTTCTTTGTTGGTTTGGCTTTGATTGGAGGTTCGGTTTGCCGGTTTTGGTCGGGTTTTGGAATTAGATGTGGCTTGCGATAGTTGGGTTCGCCCTTTGTTGGTGTGTCTCCAGTCGTGACCGCCTCCTGGTTTCCCCGTTGTGGCCAATTATTTCTTGGTGAGGTCGTTTCTCTCCTTTCTCGGTGGTTGTGTTGTTTAGTTGGTTTGCTTGCAGAACTTTTGGCTTGCGTATGAGGAGTCTTTTTGGTTGTTTTGAGTTTCGATTTTGGATTTGTGGAAGCGGTAGTTTCGGGAAGATTTGGGTTGTGTGGTTACGGAGAAGATGTTAGTAATTCCGGTTCTGGTAGTTCTACGGTGTGGCTCGATTAATAAGGCATCTTCTTTGCTTTATCCTACCCTTGTTCTGTTCCCGTTCTTGTGCATCTCATCGTTTTGAAGCCGTTAGTGTTGCCTGGCTGTGTTTGCGTTTTATCCGCCCAACCTTTGCATTTCCTCTCCTCCTTGGTCTACTCGCCCAACCTTTGATTCCCATAAGGCTCGGTCCCTTTCTAAGCATAGGCTTCGTTTTGTTTGTTGATATGTTAGTCATCAAGGGTTGCTTTTGGCTCTTCTCTTTGTTGTGGTTCGCTGTGGTTGATAGTTGTCTCGTTCCAGCTCGGTTGAGCTTGGTTTTTTCGAGAGGTTAGGCTTCGCTCCTTGTCCTTGCGTTGCAGGCCGTTTTGACCTGATCGCGTTTTAAAAGCTTCTACCTAGACGATAAAAAGACGCTGAGTCGTCGTCGTCGCATCCGGAAGCGTGTTCGAGTCTTTGCTTGCCGGGTTATGATAGCTTTGGTTCTGGTTTCGAGAGATTGGCTCTCACTATGATAGGAGGTGGTTGATGTTATCTTCGGATTGACTTTGGGCGTCCTTGGTAAGTCTCTTCTACAGGTGCTTCAGATGAAGAGTTCTTTTTGCTTCTTGAGTCTAATATGTGTCTTAAGGTTTTAGCCTAGTTGTTTATGTTTTTAGTTTAAGGGTTCGTCCTCTTTCGTTTTGCTTTGAGTTTTTCTGCATTATGTTTTAGTACCTTCAGTTTCCCTTCTATAGGGCTTAGACTCCGGGGATTTCTCGTTTTCCTCCGGCTAATGACTCCGAAGACTTCCACTGCGTCTGTCGGCTTTAGTTTCCCTCTTTTGGGCTTTGGTTTCCGGGGATATTCAGTTTTTCCGCCGGCTTATGTAATCTCAAAATGTATCTTTCGAGTTTTTATAAATAAAATCAGATGACCAAAAAAAAAAAAAAAAATTAACTTTCTACCACTAGCTCTCGTGGCTTTTATTATGAGAATGTTTGTACCATGTGGCTGTCGACTATCACTTTATTTGTGATCTTGTACAATTAAAGTTCTTTTCAGTTTCAGATGTATTCTTCTCTGTATATAAAACGTGCGTACTCTAACCAAGTCATTGTCTCAAGATAGTGGAAGAGACACGTTACTAATGTTAGAGTTGTTCTGATTTGTATTTTTTATCGTTTTAAAGCAAATTTTGTGTTTGTGTTTACATGAAAAGAAATTAACATTCCACCAACCATCAATTCTACAAGTGCTATTAAATAAAAGATTTAGGTCAGTTGTCTAATGCAGATGGGACTTGCAGCCATTTTGTAATTATAGTACTAATAAGATAAATTTGTAATTAAGTCTTAATATGTGTTCCTAGTAGCCACTCAAGTGGCTGTAGTTTAGTGGTAAGAATTCCACGTTGTGGCCGTGGAGACCTGGGCTCGAATCCCAGCAGCCACAATCTTTTTTTTTTTCTTTTCCAATTTTTGTTTTGCATGGGCATGTGATTGGCTTTCTGCTAAAAAGCCCCTTAACAAATGACATTGATGGGCCTAAGTATTTTCTCTCGGGGAGATAAATAACTAAGCGTTAGAAAAATGGCCAACAATAAATACCATGTTAAACTAATCCTTAACATAAATCTTTCAACTTATCCTTCACGTTGCTCGTTGGATTAAATAAAAATTTACAACTGTCTGGAACTGGATAAATCCTTAAAAAGAGAAATAAATATAAAATCAGCGATTACCTTAGATAAAAACATACGTTAACATTAGATAAGATTTTTGAATTCATCCTTTAATCTTATCTTAAAGGTAACAAATAATGGAAAACATAATCTAAAAATCACCAAACTGGAAAGAAATATGGTGACATATTGAGAAAATATTTATAACAAATATTCTAATGATTCGATTTGACCAATTATACAACACTTTTAGTAGATTTTATTTAAATGTCTTAATAGTATATGAAAAAAACGAAGAACGTGATGGATAAACAGAATTATCTTCTCACAAAGGCATCTTTATTTGGTAGTCAAAATATTAAAATTATAGAAACGAATTAAATTAATAAGATCGTGGGCATAAAGAAATGGATTTAATTTGGATTAAAAACATTAAATAAGAATTATCCAGAAGTAAATCGTAACGCAATCAAAACGCTTTGTTTTCGCCGAATCAGTCTTTGTTAGTAACGGATTCACCCTAAGCCACTCCTATATATATATACGTCTCTCGCATCTCTTTCACATCACACATCAAAATTTACTACTTCTCCTTTACCAAATCTTTTGTTCTTTACTCTTTTTCATCGTCGAGAAAAAATGGAGTTGGATCTTACACCGAAGCTGCCGAAGAAGGTTTACGGAGGAGATGGTGGATCTTACTTTGCGTGGTGCCCAGAGGAGTTGCCGATGCTCAAACAGGGTAACATTGGAGCCGCTAAGCTTGCTCTTGAGAAGCATGGCTTCGCTATCCCTCGTTACTCTGATTCCTCTAAGGTCGCTTATGTTCTTCAAGGTTCGTTTTTCTCCTGATTTTCTTCGAAAGTTGTCGACTTTATTGCGATCCATGTGTTTTTGTATAATGGGTTTGACCGATTTCATAACTCTGCTTCTTCTTTTGAGGGTTTTTGATCTTTTCTATCTTCTGATCTTCTTTATTGCTTTAAAAGTTGTCAACTTTATGGTGATTCATGCATTTTGACTACTATGATTAGGTTTATTGTGATCTATTAAGCTAATCTGATCCTTGTATGATTCTGAAAAATCTGTTGTAAGTGAAAAATATGATAGTCAAATAGATCACGACTACTGTGTGCAGGAAAAAAAGTAGTCTTTTGTTGTTTTTGTTTTGCTTAATCACGTCTTAATCGTTGATTTGATCAACCTCGCGTGTAAGAAATTGAAAGCTTGTTTATTTGACTTTTTCAAATTCTGTTTCAGGATCTGGAACTGCTGGAATTGTTCTCCCAGAGCAGGAGGAGAAGGTGATCGCAATCAAGCAAGGCGATTCGATTGCTCTTCCCTTTGGTGTGGTCACATGGTGGTTCAACAACGAGGATGCTGAGCTTGTTATCCTCTTCCTTGGTGAAACCCACAAGGGTCACAAAGCAGGACAGTTCACTGAGTTCTATCTCACTGGCTCAAACGGTATCTTCACTGGTTTCTCCACTGAGTTTGTAGGCAGAGCCTGGGACCTTGATGAGAACACCGTGAAGAAACTTGTTGGTTCTCAAACCGGTAATGGTATTGTGAAGCTTGATGCGAGCGTCAAGATGCCACAGCCCAAGAAGGAGCACCGTGATGGGTTTGTCTTGAACTGTTTGGAGGCTCCTCT